CTACTGGAGATTTCTGTTCTCCATGAGTCCCCCTTAGGACACCTGCGTTGTTGTTTAACAGATGTGCCGCCCCAGCCAAACTCCCCACCTGACAATGTCTTCAACCCGGATCGGCCCGCGAAGGACCCTGGCCCCACCTAGATACCGCCTTCCTATTTAACCTACACCGCCATACGATACGCGGTATAGGCTCCATTCCATATAGCGCGTATATCTCGCGTTTCTCTCTCTAATTCCTTGCTTGATACTGGTAGCAACAGCGCAGCAGGCATGAGATAAATTGGAGCTACGGCACTTAGAGCATCTCTCTGAGACAATGCCACACCGGGTGGAGGCTATCATCGAGAGCCAGGGGTGGTATACAGCATATTAGATTCCATAGTATGAATTTATGGAGGTTTTAGACCGGCAGTAACTTACATAATCAAGGGGGTGTGGGGCCAGGCGTTGTTAACACTTTTGCGTAGTCACTGTAATTGGAACCCTAAACCACTGTATCGCCGTCGGATCGGAACTGACCGATACGAAGGTCAAGCAGCTGAGGCCGTCGCGTTGATAACTCCCTCTTTCATTCCTGTGTTGTAAATTAGGAACAAGCTCACCAGTTCGGAGGATAGTATCACGGGCTGCTGCCCGAAGTGAAGAGAGATCAGGTTATGTGGGCCCGCCTGAGAGTTCAGTAGGGTTAGCAGCCTGAGGCTACCAGCCAAGAGTTGTTTCAGTACCTTACCACTTCCCTTAACTAACTTACCCACTTCTCTCTTACTAGTACCATACTACTTTTTTATTAGTTATATAACCACCAACATCACTTATCATATAACTACCGCTACCATAGTGAAGTACACGATATATATAAGTATAACCCTATAAGATAATATGAAAAGGTCCTAGAAAAGATGAAAATACGATACATTGAAGATGAAACTAACAGTTGTTCACATTTAGACTGTATACAAATAGTACTACACCCTAAAATCGAAGGAGGGTATAGATCTCCCTCAACTAAACGATCGTAACTAGTATATATACAAAATATACCACATATTTCATACCAAAACGGAATGATCTAATCAAAGATACCGTACATTTCCAGACCAAACAGCATTTCTATAAGCCTAAACTAGGGGTATCAACGTGAGCATTGACCGCCTGACCAACGTGAGGTCTCAGGCGGGCCCACATGACCTGGTCTCTCCCGGACGATACCTGAGGCGGAAGACACCTGAGGCATGCGGAAGGATGCGGCCGGATTATATAAGAGACGGCTGTGTATGATCACATGATCCATAACCTTATTAGAGGCCGGAAACTCCATTCATACTTAGATTCCTCAAGTATCTTAATAACAGCATTATTCCTTATCGATATCATTATGACTTTAGTATTAGACCTTTATATTTAAGATACTTCCTCTATGTTGGTAATTTGAGGGGTGGTGCCTCTAAATTATCGTATTATAAGTACAGGCCCGTTCAACACAGCGCTGTACGGTAAGATTGGAAGAAGGCTTGGCATTTATTCGGCTGAAATGCAGGAACTCCTCAGGAGATCGCATGATCGAGATCAAGATCGGCCACGTTTCCCCTCTTCCATAAATTAATAGATCAGATTGCACCTTTATTATACGCAATCTTCCTCGCTTAGAGATTGTATTGTTACATTCCTTTATGCTAATCTCTTGTTATTACGTTATTGATGTTGTTTGTTATTAACTATTATTGTAACATTGTTATTAATGCTCAATTTGAGCCTCGATTGCTTAAATACTTTGGAAGCCAATTTCGAATGTTGCTGTATCATTGCAGACCTGGTCCTCCTAGAAGCAAGCGGTCCTCCCTTGTGTCCAATGGATTATGGATCTCTATTCCAGTCTCACTAACCTTCAAAGTTCAGGCTCAGTTTCAACAGCTATGCTATGGGCTACATAATCGTCCTTGCATTTCTGATAGATTTCCTTGATACAGTGATAAGGTGCACTTCAGTATAGTATATATACGTTATACAAATTTTAAAGCACTGGAATTCATTTTGTTTTATTAATAATAGTAATGGCAGTTTTTACTAGACGATACGGTTTCTGCCTAATGAAAAAAAAAAAAAAAACCATAACAAATAAACAGACGAGTGCATTCCTCGGGATTATACCTGGGGGTGTGTTGGATATGGTGGTCACCTGACCATCAGCCCGGTACGGCAGGCACCAACCCCCATAACTAGATAGTTAGGCATTCTGCCCTTTAGGAATTGACAACTCTCTCCCTCTTCAATCGCATCACTACACTGTAGTCGCATCAGTATATAATCCAGTAGTATCCTGGACTCCGGTAGTAGGCTTGAGTGAATACAGACCGGCGCGTGTTGACGGAGTCACGATGGAACCTATGGTCTCTGTGGCCATGGCAAGAGGACTAAACCCAGCGGCTACAGCGACCGCAGAGCCAGTGGATGAGGCCCCGGGAGTCTGCTTAGTATTAGCACAAAAGAATGGCATCTTTATCCTCTATCTTCCCAACATACGGCGACAGAGTCTGACCACCGTGAGCAGACCAACCGGGCATCATCATGGTCATTTTCATACCAGCAAATTCCTAGAACAACGTCAATCCAATAAACTTCCTTATTAAACCGAACATATACTAACAGTCATGTTAGCCTTTCCCAAAATAATCAAGCCAGCATCAATCAGCCGCTGAGTGATAGCTCCGTTCTTTGACGCCTTGGCTCCTACGAACGCATATGACCCAGCTGTGGTGCTCATGCCAAGCTCCGATGCTGTGACAAAGCAATCTTTCAGAACTATGGGAATTCCATGAAAAGGACCCCAGGTTTGTCTGGCGCTCCTCATCACGAGCCTTGGCGGTTGCGAGGACTTTGTCCCGTGGGGCAGGAGAGATTAGCGCATTGAGTGCAGGCTCATAGCGATCTATTTGTGCCAAATACTCTTCCACGTCCTGAGCGCTCGTGGTCTTGTTCTCATCGAGTAGGCGCTGCAGGTCGACCGCATTGGTCGTGAGGACGTTGATGGTCATTTCTGCGCTGGAACTTGAGATTCAGGTAAGGGGCAAATTTTGTTACTAGTGCCTTTGTTGGTGATATTAATTGTAGCATCGTGTGAGTACGTATATATAGATCCTGCTGCCTGATTGCGGAGCGAAGCGAAGCAATTATATCGCATTATTTATTCTGGTAGCCTTAAGGGTAGTTACTGATAACATATTGATACTTCGAGATTACCGAAACGTTCACCCGTTGTCACCGATGGAGGCAACATCTTTGTATCAAAGCCGCTCGAGAAAGCAACTCATCTAGCTCCCACATTGTAGCTTGCAACTGTGTGGATAGCAAGTGGTGAAACTTAGTGGCTAAAGTAGGACACACAGCAATTGATCAAGTCCCAGGCACCAGAAATGGGACTGGAATTTTCTTTCAACATACTAGTAGGGATCTTTCGATCTGGTTGCAGTTCGGTTGATCTGAGGCGCTGGCCCCGCACGGGAGCCCGATGGACGACAACTTGAGGATCGTTGAATTTACATTAACTAGTTAATTGAGTATCATTGACAGACTACACATAGAATATGAGGACCTGTAGAATTGACGACGAAAATGACCGCTTTCAACGCTAGAAAAGGATACGATTGTCACGCCGCTTGACCAAAAATTTCTCTCGTGTCTGATCAGATATATAAGACCTTTTGATGCCTAGAGTCAGTGCCAATACAACCAAATCAGGAAATAATAGGATATTTGAGCAGGTACAGATGAAAGGAAGTTGAATATAGACTCGAAAATTAGCCCGCTACGTAACTGCATACATGGAGCAACCAACTAGGAACTCGCCTAGATATTATTCCGTAAATTGGCGAATCCAAAACCAGAATATGCAGTCACAATTAGATAAGAATCTTGAAAATATGTTACTATTCCTGTCTATGAACCATAATAACCGGTTGGGGCAGTAATGAGTATGACGATTAAGAATGACGTCGTGCTATGTTAGACAGCGTTCAACCTCAACATAAATAGTGCCTGTTTCCGGCGATATAGAACTTTTCCTATACTCAGCAAACCAAGCAAAACTTACTACAATCTTAAACCAATTTTTATCTTCTAATCTTCTATCTTCAATATGGATACCGTCAAGGTTGGTGGATTTTCTCACACCTACCCTAACACAAACTCACATGGATACAGAACGCCGCCAACTATGTTGCCGAGACCGTGCAGGGAACTGGCGCTGAGGCTTCCAAGGAGACCAACAAGCAAGTCGCAAAGGATGACGATGCCAAGCTGAGCACTCGTGCCGCCGCTGCGAAGGATGCTCTTGTCGACAAGAAGGATGAGAAGTCTCACGATGTTAAGGCCGATGTTCACAAGGGTAAGTTCATACACCTGATACCTCCATAGTCAGTTACTTACAATTTTGCAGAACAAGTTAAGCATCAAAACTAAGGGATATTGTTTGGTATGGGTCGATGTTACAGTACCAATTGCTCTCCCCTAATCCCGCGGGTCGGGTACGAGGCATATGTTCATAGTACTAGTAGAAGAATACGCTTGTTTTTGAGTGGAGGATGCTGTTCCGCCAATCACATTAAATGAATACCCTACTTATTTCATTTCAACGAATTGGTGCTTTAATAGGTGCTTTAATAACCGGCTGCAAGTTATTTTCTTGCCCGAACTTCAGCTTTCACCACTATAGGATTTATACTATTTGTACTATGTGTCTATACTTATTTATTCTACTGATAGCTTGGAAAGCATGGTTGAAGATGCATGTCGGCAGTTGATCGTTTACCAATATAATTCTCTTCAAACAGTCTTCACACAATATATTTCTATATGTTGCGGGCTTATTGCTCGCGTCTGAAAATCTATATCGATGATACCTATTCTGAATTCGGCTTATTATTTCGCGAGTGAAACTCACGTTCCTAGGATTATATCCGGCCCAAGGATCTATAGTATGGTTTCTAGGCACGCTCTTGGTCGTTCCTAGGAATCGGACTCGTAGTATTTCTAGAATGTACGATCATTATATCGCACATCTCAAAAGATCGATCGATTAGTGGTCATCTGGACAAGTAGGATAGCTTATGACGTAATGTCTATAACGGCCTTTCAGTATCCCTTGGCAGTGATATGGTTCGATGACATCATGGAAAAATTCGATCTACCGCCAAGAGCCATCGGGCTGTAGAAACTCCCATTGGACACTGCCTTGGAAATCACCCTCGGGCTCTCTTGCTGTGTACCGAATTTGATATTATTTCTAACCCCTTGAGAAAGATGTTCTCCTCCAAACGCCTGACCGCTGGATTTTCACTATGGCCGCGTCCGAAGGTGCTGCTGTCCAGTCACACTATAGATTGGCCCAGGAACGGGAATTCTACAAGTAAGACCTTTTTCATCCTGGATCGCGTCCCCTTGTCCTCCACAGGTGATACAGATACTGACTGATATGGCATTGGGGCAGATATGTTCCGCGCGAACTTTCCGCATCGCATTATGCCCCCTTTGATCATGCCAGCGAGAAAACGTTCATCCCGCAACCGTCGCGGGATTCGGCCATGACCTCCTTCGCCCAGCTAGGCGTCATGCGTCTAGGCACCCGACGAGCCATGATTTCTCTATTCGATAAAACCCACCAACATGTCGTTGCAGAGGCAACTCGGACATTGGGACTAATCGGTGGGAGAATCCGAGACGAACACGACCGGCTTCGGCTAGGTTGCTGTGTGCTCCCGAAAGAGAGGGGCATTTGCCAGCACGTCGAAGATTTACCCTCTAAGGAATATTCAGAAGCCGGCGAGGTCCTCGAATCTCGTTCGCTGGTTATTTTGGATATGACGCAGGACGAACGGTTCAGGTCAAGTCAACTGCCGCACGCGTTGTCTGATGTGCGCTTCTATGCTGCAGTGCCTATCGTGAGCCCTAAAGGGTTCACGATTGGTGCCTACAGTGTGATGGACCACGAGCCAAGGACCTCGGGTCCCGATCAACATGATCTGCAGTTTATGAAGGACATGGCTGCAACGATCATGGAACACCTGGCCATGGATCACTCCACTCGCAAAAGTCGCCAGGCGGAACGGATGATCCTCGGACTGGGAAGTTTCGTTGAGGGCAGGTCGACGCTTCGCGGATCGTGGCGAGAAGCCAATGCACAGTATGTCGCCTCCGAACAGTCCGGGGAGACCACCGAGGGTCAATTGAATATTCAGCAACAGAATCTGCAACAGGTCGCCAAGGAAAAGATTGAGAAGGACCTTGTCATCCGCCAGCATTCTAGGGTTCCTACCAATGATTCCGCATCGAAAAGTGATAGCAATACTAGAGGCAGACAACAGCCGAGTGTAGAGGTCAACAAAGCGGATGGGTCGGTTCGAAGCGTCCTTGCGGGCGAAAGTCTACAGGATGACTCTCTTCCGACCGGCATCAAACACGTTTTCTCGCGCGCGGCCAACTTGATCAGGGAGTCGATTGGAGCTGAGGGAGTCATGTTCCTCGATGCGAATAGCAACCGTTTTGGGAGTCTCGTCAAACATAGCCGGAAGGTTTCTGGCCCCAGCTTAAAAAGTCCGACATCGAGTAGTGACGAAAGTACCGATTCTGCGTCTTCTCAACGCAACTATACCAAGGGTAACCAGAAGGGTGAGAAGAACAGGAATCTTGTGTCTGAATGCATGGGCTTTTCGAGCTCGAGGGTGTCGAGCATAAACGACCAGATGAGGGCCGGTCAAGCAGTTGTGGTTCCAGAGCCTCTGTTCAGCTCGTTGATCCGGCGATACCCCCACGGTAAAATCTTCACTTACAACGCCAATGGAATGGTTTCCGAAGATAGCGATCCCTCATGGAATCTGTCCGAGCCTGATCACGTCCCGACTTCCGGGGCGCCTCGCTCCAAAGACCGATCCCTCGCCAGTAAACGGCGACGCAAGCCAACATTCCAACAAGATGCCAATAGTCTGATAAAAATCTTCGGTGATGCCAGAAATATTTTGCTTCTACCCATATGGGACTCGGAAAGAAACCGATGGTATGCCGGAACACTAGTGTGGACGAACGATCCGGAGCGCGTTTTCACCATTGAAAATGAGCTCGTGTACATCTCTGCTTTTGTTAATAGTATCATGGCCGAAATTCGTCGACTCGACGTGGAGGTGGCGGACAAGGCTAAAACCAACCTTGTCAGCAGCATCACCCACGAGCTTCGGAATCCACTGCATGGAATACTGGGCACGGCAGACATTCTGAGTGACACCGCCATGAATGCTCTGCAGCATGGTATGGTCCATACCATAGAGTCGTGTGGTCGCACCCTCCTTGATACCATCAACAGTCTGCTTGATCTCACGTTCATCGACAAGTATCAGAAGAAACGGTCTCGCATGAGTGGGAAGCCGGGAGAGAATCAATCGAGTTTACCGGCCACTTCGACCAAGGAGGGTCGCATGCAAAGCAAAGACCGTGGCGAGAATATTTCTTTCTCCCACGTCAAACTGGACGCGATTCTCGAGGAGGTCACGGAGTGTGTGTTCGCTGGATACAGCTTTTACAATCATCCCGAGGCGCCGCCTCCAGCCTTGGCCAATCTTTCTTCGCGGTGGGCTGGTCCAGCGAGCACGTCGGATCAGGTTGGCCCTCGAGCTAGCCAAGTCACGATCATTTTCGACATCCAGCCAGATACAGAATGGGACTTCTGGACACATGCTGGTGCTTGGCGTCGCATACTGATGAATGTTTTCGGTAATGCGCTCAAGTACACACCCTCAGGCTACATCTACCTTGGGTTGAAGTCATCCCAGAGGGACACAGAGTCTGGTGGAGAAGTGCCGAATGATCAAGGAGAGGAATTTGAGGTTACTCTTACAGTGAAGGACACTGGGAAGGGTATTGGGCCCGAATATTTGCAAAGCGACCTTTTCACTCCGTTTCAACAAGAGGATTCGCTTGCGTCTGGGAGCGGACTAGGACTGAGCATTGTTCGCCAGGCTGTTGGATTGCTCGGCGGCTCAATCGAAATTGAATCCACAAAGGGAGTTGGCACTCAGCTCTCGATTCGGACACCACTCACCCCGTCATCTGGTCCAGACACTTCGTCAACCGGCTCTACGTTTAGTTCACCACGGAAACATACTCAGGGCAAAACAATCGGACTCCTAGGGTTCGGGTCATCTCTCCGCTCTCAACGAGACATCGTCTTGTACTCATCTTTGGAGCGGCTGTGTCGGGACTGGTTTGATATGGAGGTGACAAGCGTATCGTCCCTAGAGGGCGAAAACGTCTCCTTTGACTTTTACTTGGCTGTGCAGACGGAATTAGACTCTGAGCATGTTGAAGGAAGAAACCTGTTCAATTTTAAACCAGGTCTCACCAACGGGGATGGTCGCAGCTCACCGGTTGTGGTAATTTGTCAATCACCCGAGGAAGCACACAGAATGTTCGTTGCAGCCAAGAACCGGGGCGAAACGCCTCTCTTCGAGTTTATTAGCCAGCCATGTGGACCCCGGAAACTGGCTCGGGCATTGGATATTTGTATCAAACGACAACTCGACCAACAATCTGGCCGGCCTAATACTGATGAGCCGACTCGCTGGGTAGAAATGCCTGAGTCCTCATATCTACCATTAGACATTGCAGCTAGTGACCCACCCAAAGATAGGATGAAGATCGGTAAGCGACCAACAACGGAGACGATGCGCAGTCCAGAAAGTCGGATTTCTCGATCCCCGTCTCACAAGGGAAATTTGGAAGACGATGCACATGCCGCCCAGCCGACCTCGCCTTCTAAGATAGAGGCGGAACCAGAGACCCCCGGACCATCCGTCCTTCTGGTTGATGATAATCATGTGAACCTCCAATTGCTTTGTGCCTACACAAAGAAGGACAATTATCATTACATGACAGCCAAGAATGGGGAAGAGGCAGTTGAAGTATATAAAGCACACCACGGGAAGTTTCGGGTTGTTGTCATTGGTATGTTCAAAGTTCGAACTTTTCTTTCCTGGATTTGGTTTGATGCTGATCAATTAGACATCTCAATGCCAGTCATGGATGGCCTTGAAGCGTCCCGACAAATACGTCGCTTAGAGAAAGGCTATCGAGCCAAGATGACCGAATCGGAACAACAAACAACGCCCCCCACAGTCATCGCCGCTTTGACTGGGCTCGACAGTATTGAAGCCCAGAAGGAGGCATTTGGTTCTGGCGTCGACACTTTCCTTGTTAAGCCAGTCAAGCGCCGAGATTTGCAGGCCATTCTACGGCGAATGAACGTAGAGTGAGCTAATTAGCACCACTTTATTTTGTGTTGTCCTCACTTAACTGCTTGAGGCCCGGGGCCTCGATGAAAATACAGGCTGTTATCTCAAGCCGAGGGAAAAGGTATTACACTAGCAGACACCCTTTCGGAAGGATAATTCTAATGGAGTAGTCTAGCTTATCCCTCTATGAAGCGAAATCCGATTCTGCCAGGTCAAGAGTGGCTAGACGTTTACGAAGATCTCCACATTCCGCAAAGGCCTCGATCATTCATCTCGGTACCGACTTTCTCAGCATTCTAGATACCTACCCAGAGTTTACCAAGATTTTACAGCAACTGGTCAGTTATTCTTTCTCTACCAATTCCAATTCGAACACAACTTCGAATTTCCACAACCATAACAACCTAGAACGTCTGTATAGATCTCACCGTTGGTTCAATCAACCTAGACCAAGCACCCCTTGAAGCTAGTGACGACGACGATAGATTCGATTACGACCCTATCGTCAGTCTCTCAGTATCTAGAGAGATAGAATAGAAAAGTAAGAGAAAGTGAGGAAGAGCAGCGAAGTAGGTTATTGGGGCGCTAACCCAAAAAAGGCAACACTAACTTGAAAAGGCAATTCACAGGTCCGCCGTTTAGTTACATGGTCAATTTGATACTAACAAGATTAGATTAGCGCGAAATATTCCCTCACAAAAGAAGCGTAATATCTCCGAGAAAGAGATGACCACTCAGATTACAATAAGAGAGACCTCAAAGAGCCGTAACCCTCTCATCCTGGCAAAACGGGCATGCAGTGAAGTACTCTGCCATGTCCACCTGGATCTGCCATTTCGCAAAGCAAGACAAACAAGAGAAAGACTGGACGATACGGACCCTTGTGGATGCAGACTGGGGCAACCACCTCTGCGAGAGAAGGACGAGATCGGTAGCAAGGCCGGGGGCTTCTTCAAGCAGTTTCTCGAATCCCTTCTTCTCGCGCAGCTCCCTCCGGTGTATCTGACAAACCGCTACTACCACATCCCGAAGACCTCGATCCAACTTTGGTGTTGTTTTGTATGCCTGGAAAGCAGCAACCAAGAATTCAACCGAGTCCCAGTGATCTTGAGCGAGAGTGACGAATGTTAGCTTTGCTTGAACTTTGAGATATTCCACCTCGAATTTGTCGGCAATGGAGTATACTTTGACGTTGAACAACAGGGGACACATTTGGTGCTCGGGTTCGTTGATGTCGTAGTGTAGTCCGTAGAAGGAGCGTATCATGGCTTCCACGACGCGTGGATGCTCGTCCTTTATTTCGAATACATGAGCATCCTCGTCGCTCTCCTGTATCATTAAAGTCAGCTGGGCGCGTGGATAATGAAGGGCTTGGGCTTTGGAAACATACACTGGAGAGATCAGCGAAATGTCTGCAGAAAGTCTCAGATCTGCTGCAGACTACGATTCGGTGCACGCTCAAAACTTGGTCAGCGGTGTAGATTGTGAGATCGGAGAAGATGCCTGTACGGTGGAAACTGTCTTCTGTCAGTTCCCTCATTCATACAATGTGTAGACTCAAGAACTTACTTTCCAAGTCGATGGACAAACCGATCAGTGCCCTCGACGCTGTTGGAAGTGAGTTCCATCGCGAAGGCGTGTTGTGGCTAGCTTTGATGCGAAAGGAACGCGAAGGGAAATATGTGAAGAGGAAAGGTAACGTTGAAAGGATTCAGACCTTTTTGGGTAACAACGATAAGTGGTGTAGCTTTTGAGCCTCAGCTTGCAACCTTCAAAAGGCAGGCACAGCTTGTTACTGTATCTAGTTTAGACATATAGTAACTAAACCCTACGCGTCTTCGGCTACGGAGATTTACACCCCTCATGTATTCCGTGGGACTTGTCAAATGGCAATGAGAGCCACGACTTCAGGAACGTCCACGAGAAAGTCCGGTTTGTTGTTTGATGCAGACCTACATGGACCTCATACATATGGTAATGTCATGGTCCCTGTGGTAGGTGAAGCAGCATATGCTACGGCACCCTCTGCCTGCGCTGTCTCGTGAGCTACGGTGAGATGGTGGTCAGAGAGATGGGGAGGAGAGAAGAAGAAGAGAAGAAGAGAAATGGGGGGAGGACCCCTTTTATACCCCAAACCCACGTGCCTTCCTCGAGTGCGACAGGTCCCTCGCATCTTCCTGTCAATGGCACATGGCACCTTCCAGTTTACATTGTTTGCCTTTTTTGTTTATACGGGGAACTTCCAAGGTGTAGGAAGGAGCCATGAAGCCAATATCACATTATGCTAATTCCTTGTAGTGCAATTTTAAGTAAACACTATAGCTGAGAATGCACCTTCATATTATGCCATTTTCTCTAGTTTACAAGAGCTCCAGGTCCCTTTCCAAGTATCGCCCTCACACTGTCTCTCCCAGTATCCCTATGATCTTGTGGAGAAGAAGCCGAGGTCTTGCTATCAGGGTCGGTGTCATATACAACGGTACCATTGACTGCATGAACAGATCGATAGTATGACCGCCCATTCATCTCACCTTCGAAGACATTGCTGGTGTCACCCCAAGAGCTTGAGTTTCCACCAGTGACGGATTTATACTGCGCCGTGCCAGATTGACTTGTGTGTAGGTATGATGGCCCCGAGGTCAAGGTGTAAGTAGAAATACCGAGACCTCCTGTTGCCTCGTAATCAAGACCCCTCTTCATCCAAGAGTCAATCGTCATCCCACTCGAGGTGATGCCATAAGTTGCATTGACAGCCAGGGGGTACTGAAACGCAATGCTGTTTGAGATGGGTGTGTCTCCGAGCTCGGTAATGGTATTATTGCCAGTTGTAATTTGTCTGTTAAATTGACTGTATCCTTGCTGGTTGAGGAGACCGTGGTTGGAGAAGGATAGTGTCTGTGACCACGAGTACAGAGAAGAGGATGCTCTGAAAACTCGCTCGACAACCACAGAGTACGACAAGGAATCATTTCCGCCGGTCTCATTGTAGATAAGATTCCGAGTCACAGCAAACATAGGCAAGGGAGCATCCACCGTAGGTCCATTTTTGTCAAGAGTGGCATTTCCCTTAGAGGCTGAGCTGTCGTCATCGATATATATGAAGATATTTCCTGTGACAACCCAATATGAGCCGACAGTGTTGGCAAATGTGGCCTTCCCATCTGCCGAGACATCCAGACCAGTCACCCGGATCTCAAACGAGTGCTGCTTTCCGTCTTGAATCATGGGGAGAAATGGGGAAATATCAATCTCCGGCTGTCGAAGATCAAATGCATCAGTGCCAACAACCGGACGCCAGAATCCCGGAGCCACGCCTCCCGTAAAGATAATAGGGAATGGCCAGACAAGGCCGGCAAGGATCCCATCGATATAGAGCTGAACTTCACGAAAAGGAGTGTACCCATATAGCCCACCGACAGTGCTTTCAAAGTCTTGGGTATCTTCAGAAAAGACATTGGACCACCAGAACTCTTCTTCTGATTGTCCACATGCCGATATTGACACAACAGCACGCGATGCCGCAGCAGGGATCTCGTACATGACTGTTGTGTTGTCTGTGGGAAGCTGGAATGCACTTGGAGAGTTTGATGCCGACTTTTTGGCCGAGATTGGAAGAATCATATCCGCAGTTTTGACATTGTGTTCTCCAGAGAAGTGCGCGGTTAGCGTGGCATTGAACGAACCGGTATAAATGTCGTTGATGATATTTCCCAAGTCAAATATCAGCTTCTGGGGACTCTTCCATAGTGAATTATACTGTGACATCTCTTTGACATAAGTCCAGACGATCCCATTGATTGTCGGCTCTGCCGTTGAAGTCCGGAACACTTCATTGTCTCCGAGGTACATGAGTGCCAGGCGGTCAAATTGCTTCCCCCGGGAGGTGACTGTGAGATTGATTCGTACAGTATCAAAGTCGCAGTTTGGAGGCTCATAGTCGCCTAAATAGTTGCAATATTAGACTACAAGTAGAAGTAACTCTCGAGACCTCTTACCAACAAACGGTGCTCCATAACTGGCTCCAAAAACATGATCCATGAGCAATATGTCGACATCGCAGTTGCCGTTTCCACTGGAATCGAGCGATATTGGCTGATATAGCTGGAAAAACTCCTGCAAACCAGTAGAGCTAGGTGCCTGCGATGAAACGCCAGCAATGGACTGTAATCCGCTTCGGAGCGAGGAAGCCGATGGGAGATGCCCCAAAAGCAACAACCCACATATGGCGAACAGAACCATAATAACTAGTAATCCAAAGCTTGGATTTTCTCTTCGCAATTTGCTGCGGGTGTCGTCTACCCTTATTTCTAAATCGTGGTGGTCAATAGACCGCACAGTGTCCGCAGTTGTGTAAGCTTCTTGGGGCTTCAATGCTTCTTGACTGAGTACCGACCTGCGATGCGATTTGAAAACATTGAAAAATGCGACCGCAATGCAGAAAAGAATAATAAATAACAACCATGCAGCTAGCTGCGTAAAACAATACTCCATTGGGAATTGGGGGTCCGTTGGCGGTTGAAACGAGTGCCCTGGAGGAACTAGCATGTTAGCTCCGCCCGTGTGAGCCAGTTAAAATATTAGATTCTATCCAAGATGGTGCCAGGCTAAAGGCTATGTAACCTTGGAAGTGACTCTTGCGATGCAATATATGAAGGATGACGTTGCTGAAGATAAGATGCATAAAGAGGGGAAGGTGCGGCGGAGTTCCGACGCAAGCCCAGGGCTAGCTATGTAACCCTAATATCACTATTCATACGGAGTAATGAACGGTTATCAGTCCGAATGTTGATAGACCTCAATGCTTCGACCTTGACTGTTAATGTCATGGATATTTCTCGGGAGGTAAAGTCTTCAAGAAAGTTGTATTCTGCAACAAGATAACATTATTGGCTAATTTGACAGCTGTCACTTAGGTAGACCATTGTGGTCATTTTTGAGTTGAGCAAATACCAATCTCGGCACAGCAGTCTATGGGAAGCTATATAGATGAAAATAATTGAATCCAACCCCAAGAATGACAGAATCTGGCCGCCCACCAGGCACCAATCACATATGTGTACGGCTTTGGGGCATTCAACTTCTGGTCCATCAACACCCGCCACTGGGGCCCTCAGATGCGGAGAGAAAGGATGGCCGAGATACCTTGAAAAACGCGATCGGAGCAATCATAGTGCACATCCATCCATTGCCGATCGCATTGAGCATGGGTTGAGTGACGACGGCTCTAGTGCATGCAAGGATATTTCGCACAAAATTTGCCACAGCAACACCGCTAGATGCTTTCTTGGGAGTGAACTCCGTCAGAGCGGTCTGCACAGTGCCCATGACAAGCATCATGCCGAGCCCGAAGCAGATAGAGGCGACACAAGGGACCGCCCACTGCACACCCTTTTCAGCGGACCAGCCGTACCAAATCAACGAGGCTGGATACAGTGTCAAAGCCAGCCAGATATTCTCTCTCATCCGGTCCTCGGGAAAGTACTTGATCATGCTGTTATCATCGTAGCGATTGGGCTTGGTTGGCTCACGAACCATGATGTGGTTGATCCAGCGACCACCAAAAGTTGACGAGATAGCGTACTCGATTGTCGGTGCTAAATACACAAGACCCACCTCCAAAATGCTGAAATTGTAGAGGGCCTTGCCGAAGACGGAGACATCCATGATGTACATGGTAAAGAAGGCGATGACGCCAGACCAAATTACGACGATGACGGGCTGGAAGCGGAGCAGGGCCAATGCCTTGAACGGGCCAAAGATGGACATGAATATTTTGACGAAAATGCTGGTGCTCTTCTGCTTTTCGGTCTACGGCTTTGGCTCACGCTTTGCGATCGTCTCCGGCAAACACAGGAAAATGAACTTCAGCATCACACCGCCAAAGATGGCGAGAAACCAGAGGGTACTTCGCCAGCCGAGACCCTGATTTAAAGCACCACCGATCACGGGCGCCAGACCGTGCCCGCAGAGAGGGCCCAGTTGGAAGACTCCCATAGCTTTGGCTCGTGCTTTCGGATCCCAGATATCGGCGACGGTTCCCACGCCCACGGATTGGACGGAAGCTGCGGCTCCACCGCTGAGCACTCGGAAAACGATCAACATTGTGACGTTGACACTGACGGCACTGATGCAGGAGAAAGTCAAGAAGAGAAAAAATGAGAGGAGATAGGTCGTTCGCCGTCCATGCTTCTCGGACAGTGCGGACCTATACTTCGTGGTTAACAAGGGTAGCTCTCATTTCTCAATTTGCAGGTCTACTTACCACCAGATAGGAGTGAAAGCCATGGCGAGCAAGTAGAGTGCCACCGACAAGTTTGCAACCGTCGGAGTCGTATCGAGGTCATACGCTACCTCGGCCCCGCTGTGATTTTATCAATGGGTAATCATCCACAGGGAAACAAGCAATAGCACCCACGGAAGAAGATAGAGGAGCCCGTGGAGGAAGTAATGGCAGCGAAGCTGACAGTCACAGTCATCGCCCATTTGGTTCCATTCCCATATTCACGCGGGTTGGTGATTTCAGGAATAACGGAGAATCCGCCCAGCAGGCCTCGCCGCCCCGAGCGAGGGACAACAACAATCTCTGGTCCTATAGTGCTCGCTATTGGTTCCACTTTCCCTGGAGACTTGATGGGCTGAGTGGGCGGAGACTCTGTGGCAGACATTTCAAAATCGCGGTTGAGGTTGAGATTGTTGATGGCCACGCCATGGTCCTTCTCGTCACTCGGCATTCTTCCGGTCAAAAGTGGAAATTGGTGAATAGTAGAGCTGGGCGGATGCCACGATGCTTATACCCAGACACATTGTGTGTACGGGTTCTTCGGGGAGATAGGTCATTTCCCAGGACAGTAAAGCCGAGCAAGAAAATGCCGGGGTGGACACAGGCCAGACGATTTTAGACCATTGAAGAATGTGACCATGATGTACTCCATGAACGGGAGAAAGCCAAAGAAAAGAAACGAGGACGTTTGATGTCCGGGCGCCGCTACACTAGTGAGCTTGGTGCGCCTATCACCGGGGCCGTGCAGATCTCTTGGGTACTTTAAGTATTCCCCGGGGCCCTCCACGCAGAAAATCAATACATTTGAAGTCGCGAGACCGCTAAACACGAATTGTGTATATGATGACACATATTTCCAGAAAGGGAGACCGACAAGACATAGGAGGGAAAATAGTTCTGTGGGGATCAAGATCGTACTGATAGATAACAAGCATCAGTAGCTTTCTCCATGGAGAATTCGGCCCGGAGATACTAACCAGAAAATGCCGAGCCGACCTTGCTGGGTACAAAAGGTGCCTAACACGCTCAATATTGATTGACTCTGAGATAACCCGACACGATGTCCGCTTCACGCCCCACGATCCTTATCATCGGTATTTCACGTGGCCTTGGCCACGCCATGGCGGTCGAATTCCTAGAAAAGGGATGGAATGTTGTTGGGACAGTCCGCGGAGAGTCGCGAAAATTACTCCACGAGCTAGAAGACAAGTACAACGGTCTGATTGACATCGAGACCTTGGACATTTGCCAACCCGATCAAATCCAGGCGCTAGACAAGTGTTTGTCGGGAAAGATATTCGATATCCTCTTTGTCAACGCTGGAACAACGAATCGTGACCAAACCCAAAAAATTGGCGATGTATCAACCGAGGAGTTTGTACATGTCATGGTTACGAATGCGCTCAGCCCCATGCGTGTCGTTGAACGTCTGGCACATCACGTGGCTCCGAAAGGTCTTATTGGTGTGATGTCCTCTGGACAGGGAAGCATCAGCAACAATGAAACCGGTCAGCGAGAGGTATATCGTGGCACTAAAGCCGCGCTGAACATGTACATGCGAAGCTTTGCAGCTCGTCAGGCCCCATCACGTCCAATGGTGGTGATGGCTCCAGGGTGGGTCAAAACCGAGCTGGGGGGTGCGGACGCTCGGCTTACCATCGAAGAAAGCATTCCCAGCTTGGTCAATGTACTTATTGCAAAGCAAGAACGACCCGGACTCGAATACCTCGACTACCTCGGCCGAACTGTTCCTTGGTGAAACATAATCACGTGGCTATATGAGCCTTCATTTTTGTTTTGGCCAGAGTCTCCCTTTTTTTCTTTCTTGTTCCTTCTTTAGATGTAGATTCTAAATCATATCAACCGTGTTTCGCGATCAGTACTCACTAGAACACCAATCCATTATTGTACATCTAGATAAATCAATATAACACTAATTTAAAGGCTATACACAGAAAAGTCCTCTGACGGTTTATGCTTTTTGTCGGTCTTATATATATCCAAGAAGACATCTACGAAGAGATTCAAAAAGACATTCACAAAGACGACTACAAGATACGTTCAACATGGCACGGTATATTCCTTATCATTATCTTGTTCTTGCATCAACCCACTATTGACCTTTGGTCCTTGGAACGCTCTGAGCTCTTGTTTTGGAATCTGAGAATTCCGCTGGAGTCCGTATAGGCTGCCAGAGTAGTTCTGTCGCCTTTTTTTCGAGACAGCTCATCAAAACGCTTAGTGACGACACATCTCTTGTCATCACGCTTGAGGCAGTCTGCCTCCAGACGAGTTTCTACGGCCCACTCGACTGCGAAGCGACGTTCTCGCGTCGTGGGTACATTGTACTCTTGGTGTGTGCTCATTTAGATGTTCAACGTACTCTCAGTGTGCACTCAGTGCGCTCTCGCTGAGATTTTCAAACTTAATCTCAGTGTATGCTCGTTGAGATGCTCAATGTGCCCTCGACACATGATCATTGTCTGCTCATCGAGATGCTCGCGAGGCACGTGGAGACATGGTAGGTGTCGAGCGGAGTGTCCGAATTGGCGCAAGCAGACCTTTTACCAAGGACTCAGCATGATCGTGGGTTTCTTGATCTGATTGTAAACACTGGAGATGGCGGACGAAGTTGACTCTGTCATCTGGCGGAAGGTGAGTGTGGAAGGCTTGCAGAACTCATACAGTGTTTTCGTTCTGACTGATTGGTTGGTAGCTGTCTACTTTCTCCATCTTGCCAGTGGATGTTGTTCTTAGAGAGATGCTGTTCTTAGATCCAGAGTCAACTGGAACCCAAAGATGGTGACCGGAGCTCAAATGGGTGGGGCTGCCTATCTGGGTATAGCTCCCGCATTAGTTGCAGATCATGTGATATGTAAAACATTCCGAATGCGGCCTTATCACGTAACCTTTTTTTCTATTTTGGTCGTCTCTTTGGTCGTCTTGTATTGGTAGTCTTCTTAAGTCTTCTTAGAAGTATGAAGGCGGTAAAAAGCATAAGTGCTTAGCATTGTCTAAACCTATATACAGCAACATACATAGTACGGCCAGACGAGTAGAGAGTATAGTGTAAAAAAGAAAGAGAAGTTGTAAGACATCAAATGTCCTCTGTAAAGCAAGCTAAAAACAATCACTCCATATCCAATGCAGACCATTGTACCAATTCACATAAACAAGCGCCAGGCACCAAGAATAAGGGCCGCGGTACCGGTACAGACACCCCTAGAGAGAGAAAGAAAGTCAGCATAATCTCGCGCGGCAAGATAGTTCGGGGATCATACATGAGCCACTGCAACGTCGAGAACTTGACAGCCTCAACTCGTTCCCTTAATCCTGCAACCTCCTGTTCAATTCTCGTTTCGGTCTCCTTGATACGCATTTCCTGGCTATTTGCCTCCTCACGGATCCGACCCTTCTCAAGGTTCAGATCCAGCCGAACTGAAGCTTGTGTTCGTCCAATCTCGTCCCGGAGCCGGGAGTTGAGTTTGGCGAGGTCTGCCGCGATCTTCTCGTGCGATGAACGGGTCAATTGTGCCTCGGTCGAGTCTGCGTTGAGTAGCTCCGAGCGCAGTTTGGCAAAGTCTACTTTTTGTGTATAAGTTGATCTCTCCGAGTCTAGCAAAGCGTTTCTCGTTAGATCTCCGACAAGCACTATAAACGATGCGCGACAGAGCCGCGTTCACATACCTTCTCGGAGGACCATTGTCCTGGTCAGATTCTGGATTGACTCTTGGATGATATCGTTCAATACCCGCATCATTGCTACGGACTGTTCCTCGCTGAAGCCCTCCGCCTGTAGGCGCTTCACGAATTTCAGGGTATCGAAGTGATGATCGCGGTGCTGGACTGCTGTCGCATGAAAGGCGCGGCGAGCAGGATGGTAGCTAGCCACATAGACCCCATTGTGTCGGATTGGATTGCCGCGGTGAGGTTTGGGCGTTGCCGGCGTGGTTATAGAGGTTCCGCGGGAAACAAGATATCCGGAGATGACATCCCGGGACGATGTGGTGATGAGCCGGGAAGACTCGAAAGGTGGGATTAGAGAATTAAATTGTCGCTTGGAAGGACTCCAGCCTTGGGGAAGTGGTCGTCTTTGACTTGTCGCAAGCGCGGGCTGGTGGGTGATGGTAATGGATGGACGCGAAGGGGAGCTGTTCCAACTCAGGCGGGGAAGGATAGTGCGCGGGACATCCGCGACATGTTTTTGAGACGCCATGTCAAGGACAGCGGGCCAACAAGTATTTGTTCAACGAGTGTACTTTAAACCGATCAAGAATGACGCAGAAGAGGGAAGCTTGGAAGATTCCGGGGCTTGAAATGTCGGGATGACTAAAGACCTCGGAACGCTTCCAGTTTCCCGGCCCCGGTGCCCATTACCCGCATTGCCTATTTTATTGTGGAGTGAGGTGTATTCTCATTTCATGCAATTGAGGACTATTTTTATCGAAATTGACTAAAGCTTCTTTCAGAAAATATCCAAATCAGACTTCACATGTAAACGCTATCACAAATCTATGCCTTTTCGGCTACTGTCAACCTCTTATCTATAAGTCAAACAGCTTCTTCATCTGCTTGATGGTGTCGTCAGGACCAGTAACGGCATGCCCAATGGTGCGAGGGTCCTCGTAGATCTCATAATCGTTTCCTCCGACGCAAGTCTTGTCGCCGAAGAAGTGGATGGTCTTGTAGTCGACACCCGAGATGCCCTTTTCAGCTTCGACGTGCTGTAGGCAGTAGGTCTTATCCCAACCGGTAGGGAAGACATCGAAAGAGATCTGACCGCCGATAGAGTAGCTATATTAGTAGATTGATTAGTACCATATTAAAAGTAAACCTTGCCGGACAAAGACTTACGTGAGACCGTAGTCGGGGAACTCCTTCCTCAAGGCCTCCACTAGGGTCTTTCTGATGTTGTGAATCTTGTCGAAACTATAGCATAGGTCAGTCAGGCAGTCCATTTATGTGGACATATAGAAGATCAGCCCGTACGCTTCGAACTCAGCACGCTCGTCGGTGCTAGCAGCACGTCCAACAGGGCTAACATTAACCATTCCATTACGGAACTCAACGAAAGTACCGCGCTTGCGAGGCAACTTGGTGTTGGCAATAAATTTAAGAATGAAATCCACCAGTGTTTGGTACTTGTCCTCCCCAAGCCACTGGATGAAGTTGTTGGTAGCAAGCGGCTTGCCGAGGCGGAATGCGGTCAGGCCGTTTTCGGAGAAGCAGAAATCGAACATGGTGGTGACATCCATGGTGGCTGATCCAAGTTGTTCTTGCTGCTTCACAAGGTTCGAGCCGCCAACCTACATCATGTTAGGAACGGGGTGGGGGTATTGATTGGGAGGAGACGAACGTATCCAATGGCGCATTTGTGGCGCAACCGAGAGAGCAACTCGAGCATCTCTGGCGAGGCATGCTGTAATAGAATTCGTTAGTATAATTGAACAACAAGGAGTCTCAGTGCAACGTACCCGTCTTGCGGGGGTGAGAGTCTCGTCAACATCGAACAGAACAATCGTGTTCTTCATGGGACGGTCCTCCAACGAGGGGTAAACACTGGTAGCTTCAGTCATTTTGAAGGATTTATTCAATTGAGTCTGCAAAGACCAAAATTGCGGGTTACTCGGGGGTAAATATAGAGAGAGGGGTCCATTTTGGCCGCAAGCGGTGAGTGAAGGCGGAAGCTTAGTTGGGTCCAGAAGCGGAAGGCCACCTGGTCTGTTTCACTGTTTTGGAGAAACCTTGGTTGATTAGAGCAAGTGACTCAATCAGATCATTGATCTAAATCATTGCCGTCCTGGAGTACACGATGTTGTACAGGATTGACAGTGCGACCTAGACCCGTGGACTCTTTTAAGCGCCTGACTGTTATCGATAAGAAACGGAGGGGTCAATTATCAGATCTGAAGGAGTTTGGAACCTTGGAAACATCCATGAATGTGCATTTGAGAATCTCTAACTACTGGTTACATACCTGAGGTATATATTTCCTACTGTACAGTACAAGTGATATATAGCCAAATAGACATACAGAGTCGGAATGTCCAACCCAACCCAATCCCCACAGAGACCTGTAAGAGCCCAGCTCCCAAATCCAGATCCCGAACACGCAAAATGAAGTATACATACTTAGCGTCCCATAGTGGACTGGAAGACCTTAGCCGCTAGCTCACCCAGGAGCCGCGTCCGATCAGTGTTCGGCAGGTCCAAAAAAGCCTCGTAGACACTTTTGCCCTTAGCATCGCGGACCGCGCCGAGACGATTACCCGCCACAGCGCCAGCCAACGCACCAGGAAAGTTGCCAACAATGAAGCCCATAGCACCACCGCTGACACCGCCAACCAGTGCCCAGAATCGCCCGGTTGAGCCAGTTCGGCTGCCGTCTCCCTCCTCGGCGAGACCCTCCTCGCGTAGCATCTCCTCGAATACGGAGCCAAACTGACTGTTGTCTCGTTCATCACGGTTTCCACCGAATCCAAAATCGGACCAGGAGAAACCACCGGTGGGTGGGACATCCGCTTCCTCCTCCGCTGCCCGGGTAGCGTCATATTCCCGGCGGCGTGTGGGGTCTGATAGGGTGAAGTAGGCGTCGTTGATTTCTTGGAACTTTCGAGTGCGTTCGGGTCGCTCTGGCGAGTCGACGGGGACTCGATCGGGGTGGGATTTCAGTGATTCCCTGGGATTGGTTAGAGGGGCATTTCAAAGCTAGTTGTGATGCACTTACCGCTTATATGCACTTCGGATCTGTTGTTGGGTGGCATTCTGGACGATGCCTAGGATTTTGTCTGGTATGTGTTAGTTGGGTCTTAATTAGGCACTTGGAGATCTTACAATAATCGGGAGCTGGTCAAGAGTTAGTATATATTTCGGTAAGAGGGAGTGAATTAACATACTTGACATGGTCACACCTGGTTTTGATTTTGATTTTCAACAGGGAGAATATATTGTGCTAAACTATTGCTAGACTCGAAGATGAATTTAAGAGACTATCACATGCAGTGACGTGGTTGTCGCCTAACCCCGTCAGGTACGTACCGTGGTTCAACTGTTTGTTCTATTTGTTTTAAACTACATCGATCTATAGACTGTACTCCGTAGTGCTCTATTCATGTTCAAACATAATATTGAGATGATTATATGGCGAAATCTTACTGAAAGTGGATGTCTTGACTATCTGGGGTACTTTATCTCCTGCAGAATGAGGTTTAAGACTAAGTTCAGCCGACCATACCCCAGCCGCCTTTGTTCCGCCAGGGGTGGTTGATCAGACTAATATGAGTATCCCCTTTGATTCGCTTGAAATTAGCATCTAGCATTGTCCACACACCCCTCTTACAATCCCATTTCTGCCAGCTGTCAAAAGGACTTACCTGCATAGAAAATCCACAAAGCGGCTGCACACATTGGCCTAGACCTCAGATTGCGCATATCCGCAGCAGCTAGTGGCTGACTTGCATCTGTCTCTTTTCAGTCTTCCAATTGCCGCACAAAAGATTTCAGAGGAGATTATCAGGGGTGTATCGTTACCCAGCAGCATCTCAAACCCGCCTTCCTGTGTACCAACCCACCGCAATCCCTCTCCTAACACAACAACCCGTTCCCCAAACCAGACACCTTATCGTCTGCCCGCAGTACCCACAGTCGCACCCGTAACCGTCCCCAGCTCCAACATCAGCATCAGCATCCCACATCAACACAATGGGCTGGTTCGACGGTAAAACCAGCGCAGCTTCGTCAACAGGGTACGCGCGACGCCGGTCATCACCGACACCCAGCACGCGCAGCAGACGCAGCAAATCCGCCTACTCCTCGACGCAGCATGCGCGCTCGGCGCCGTCCTTCTTCGGGCTAGGCGGCAGCCGAACAGGCGGCCGATCGAGTCCATCTGTGCTCTCGTCGTTCTCGTCTTCGTCTTCGCGCCGGGCCCGGCCCCGCGAGGGATTCGTGCAGCGCATGCTCCGCGACATCAAGCGTCTGTTCCGCGATATCTATCGCTGGGCCCGTCGCAACCCTATGAAGGTCTTTCTGATGGTTATTGTGCCGCTTTTGACGAGTGGGGTTCTGCCGAAACTGCTTGCTATGATTGGCATTCGCTTGCCGCATGCTGTAATGAGTGCCCTTGGTGGCGCGCCGAAGCCTCGTGAGGGTATGGGTGGTGGTGAGAGGGGTGTGTCGGAGCATATTAGCAGTCTCGTGAGCATTGCCAAGATGTTTGCGTAGGCGACTGCTCTGCTCTGCTCTGCTCTCTAGGCCTGGGTAGGCTGTTCTGTTTGCGCCCGAGGTTCTTTTTTTTTTCTCCACGATTTGCAATGCTCTGCTGAAATTCAGCACATGACGATCACGATTATACACCTACTGTCCTTTGCGACTTTTCTCGCTCTTATGCTCCTACTCTTTTTTTTCCCCGTTGGGCTTTGCCACTTTGCGATGTTGTCATGAACAGGGAGGCCCGTCTGAATTCGGTAGAATTGATTTCTTAGGAAAAGTTGTTGTTTTGTATGGGCAATGAAACCTTGAAAGTTCGAAACCAGTCTAGAGATACATGAAGTCTCCTATTTATACTAAACCAGTCAGGTGTTGGTGCCCAAGCAGGTGGATATGGCAGCATCAGACAGGTACACCGCACTGTTGCCAGTGCACTGGCCCTACGACAGACCCGCCTATAAACCTGCCAAACATAGGTAGATCTTCCTGGCAGACCGATATTTGGGGTGTACTAGTATCTGAAGTATCAAATGGATCTACAGGGACGCAGCACATATTGTACCATGGTAAACAATAGCCAGTGGCTGCATTATTCGGCCCTGAAGTTTGAGATGGGAAAAAAAATTATGTGTACATTTTGTCTACTTCGGTACTGCCAACATCCGAGCAGAGATTCTATATAGCAGCCTCGGGGAATTTTGTGATCTGCCCGGCAAGAAAGTGGCGACAACGCCCGGTGCAGCAATACAGCTGCCCCGGTCTATCATCGCTGGGAGCGCTTGCCACGTTTCCGAGAGCGGGAGTTTGAGGTGGCAGTGGTCTCGGCTTCCTCAACCAAGGGCTCCTCAGCCTCAGAATCCACTTCCTCCTCAGGAGCAGTCCCCAACACCCGACCGACAGTCTTGTTGAAGCACCAGATTGGAAGCGTGCACACCATGGTTTCACGGAGAGTAGGGCGTTCAATCTGATCAATGTCAAGCAGGAACTCCTGGCGCTCGCCAGCCTCGTTTTGCTCTTCCAAGAACACATTGCCAATAGAATCGACAATCAGCGTCTTTCCATTCTCAGCAACAACGCGCTTCCGCTCGCCAGTGCTGGCAGTCTGCTCGGCAGTGGAGGCATCAGGGGCACGAGCGCTCACACGGACTCCTCCCTTCTTATCCTTCTTGTTCTCCTTGTCCATCATGCGCTTCTGACGACGGTTGACAGCCACGGCACCGACGTCACTGGATTCGGGGGCAGGAGGGGGAGGCGCTGCGGCGACCGACTCGATTCCAGGGATACCACGAACGCCTAATTCATCGCCCCAGGCGGCTCGGCGGGCCTGGCGAATGTAGCGATCGACAAACTCGCGCTGCCGCTTCCAGCTGAGGATCAATGCGGCGTAGTGAGCACCACCACCGAAGACTAGGAACAGACCCACCAGCACAGAGCCCAGACCAGGACGGAAGCGCGAGTAGTAGTATCCGGTACCCTTCCACAGGGGGAAGCCATTCTTGAGGAAGTGGTCATAACGCTGACGGTTGGGGCCGCGCAGGACGTTGGCGACGAGGTTCAGACGAGCGGAGCGGGCATCGGCGTTCTTGACTGCAGCGTCAATCTCGCGCTGGGTAGGACCCTTGTTGACATTGACGCCCTGGTTGGACTTGGCCTTGTTCTTGTCCTTGGCGTAGTTGGCAATGAAAGCGCGCTTGACCTTGTCCGGGTGGATGGTTCTAGACTTCTTGCGGTAGGCCTTGGTGATTTGGTCTTGATTGGCATTGGGACGAATCTCGAGGAGGTCTGCAGTGCGGGTACTGAGTTAGATACGTATGCCTTAAAGGAGTCGAAAATGGAAAAGAAAGAACAGAAAGAACAGAACGCAATGCTAGAGCGACGACACATACCGTAAAAAGTCACATTGGCACCTTCGTTGGTGGCCACATCATTTTGTAGACCAAAGATCTCATAGTCTGTTCCAGGTCAGTAGGGAGGGTTGGTCCGGGGTAAACAATACCCACCTTCTTTGGACCAAGCAGCGACGAGGCCGAAGAAGACGAAGAGCGAGAGAAAGGCAAATGGCTTCATGATTGACAGCGGTCAATGCCGCAGAAGCAGAAGTCTAGAAATAAACGAATAAGCTGAGTGTTAGTGGAGGACATGTAGGAAAAAAAGCGGTCGGGCGTTTATCCACCGAACCCCAACGTGGCCCCAATGGCGATGTTTCTGCTTGGACGAGTCCAGTTGGGCTCATGAATGATTGCATCTGAGCTCACTTTGTACGGAATACGGAGATGGTATATATAGAGGGATAGAGGGATCTAGATTCTACGTAGTCTCATTCTTCTCCAGAAGACATCCTAGGAATAACCTCAGGGACCCAATCCTATTATTAGTAGGGAGTCCCTAACTAGCTATTCCATCTGACTCGATGACTCCTGGCCTAAAACTAAAACACGAAAGGGGAAAAGGCCAAGAAGGGAATAAGTGATTGCCTTGTCTCCGTGTTGTTTCCGGCTTCTCTCTTTCCTCTCTCCACTATACCCATCACTTTTGTTACCTGTCCCATTTCCCAGGCTTTCTTATTCTGCTCTTCTTCCCTTCTTCCCTTCTCAACCCTTCTTCATTCAAAATGGTCTCTATCCCAATTGATGCGATCACCTCGCGTTTTGGCGATCGTCTCAACAACTTTCGCAGCACCTCTTTAACCACCCGTTTCGCCAACCTGCGCCCGATCTCCGAGTTCCTCGACGTCAAGCGCCTATCCAAGCCTGCCAACTTCGGTGAAGCGCAGAGTCGCGTCAATTACAATCTGTCCTACTTCTCCAGCAATTATGCCGTCGTGTTTGTGATGCTCAGCATCTACAGCTTGCTGACCAACCTGGTGCTGCTGTTCGACATGATCTTCATCAGCTGTGGTATCTACGGAATCAACATGCTGCAGGGTCGGGATCTGGATCTCGGCTTCTCTCGCTTCACCACTTCGCAGCTCTACACCGGACTACTCATCATCGGTGTCCCTATCGGCATCTGGGCCTCCCCCTTCACAACGGCCCTGTGGTTGATTGGCGCGACCGGCGTGACCGTTTTCGGCCACGCCGCATTTTTGGATAAGCCCATCGAGAATGCTTTTTCCGAGGAGGCGGTCTAGGTGGTCGGCCGCGAGCTCCTTTTGATATGCCCTCATGGGGAAGACCACCGGGGGCACGAACGGGGAGAAATACTAGGGGACGCGCGGCGTGGGAGGAGACTCGGCTGGAGGAGGTGGATAGTGAGGAGGATGCATACGGGCGGGAGTTGGTGCGGAGCGGTCGCTACAGGGAGTATGGAGGACGAGGGCTGCGGAGGCGACCTGTGGATTACGAGGATCTGACGGATGAATCTGAAGTTGATGGGGGAGAATTCGATCTATACGACCATGAAGATAGCACGGTGGCCTATGCGATTCAGTTGGCCATGCGGGACAAGGAAGATCAATTGGTGGACACAGCGCTCGAGCGAATTCGTCGCGCCCAAGTTCTGGGGAAGAAAAATGTGCGGCTGTCGAAACCCGAGCTGGATGCCCTGGAGCGCAAGCGCCAGCAAGCGGACGGTTTAAGCGGAAGCCGACGCCCATCCACCAGTTCTGTCAAAGTGACGTCGCGCCCATCGTCCCGACGGAGTGCAGTTGTTGCGCCAGACCAGATGTCCGGCGCGTATCCCACCTTTGCTGATGCACACAGTATCTGGGCTCGTGGGACGGGCGCGAATAGCCGACCGTCCAGCTCATCTTCCGCTCCCCGTCCCGGGACTCCAACGACTCAATCTCTTCGTCCACAGCAGTCCAGTTCACCTCTTCGACCGACCTACCCGCCATACACCCCCGAGCGATTTGCCCCTAGTGGCCGACCACAGTCGATGCAACAACCGCCTGTGTTCCAACGGCCACTGCCAGACGATCCTCAATGGGCCCCGCCTTACTACAATACAATGCAGATGAGCTCATACGGCGAACCTGCGGCATACCCACCGCAGGCTGCCACCGCCGGACAGCGAATGAGTTACCCTTCCGGCTCTGCATACCCATCTTATCAATCTCAATCCCCGGGCAAACGCTCACTGCAAGGCACACCACAGGCTCGGACCGACCCAGCTCCAGCACCAGCTCCAGCTCCATCCAAATTGGGGTCAGAGGAGTCCAGTGAAGAATCGGAGAGCAGCTCAGAGGATGAAGTGCAGATCGTCAAGGTGGCCAAGGTGGCGGAGCGCAAGGCCCCGCCTGCTGCAGTTGCGCAGAGGCGGCCAGTTACTGGAACCACTCGTAAGCGGACCAGTCGATGAAGTGGCTCAGCGTTGTCCTGATATCCTCTAAATTTCACTTTCTGTCTGGGTTTTTTTTTCTTTAGTGTTTGTTTTTTCTCGATTCCATCATTGCGGTCTTTCCGTACCGCGACGGCGTTTTAAATAGACCGGTAGGCTACAATATTATTTCCTGGCTCATTTGATGTCCACGTACGTATCTTGTAGGGTTTAACATGACTAGACCGATGCAGCATTTCTGAAATGTCTCAACATGCTATTCTCGGAGTAGCCCCCAAAGGCTCTAGTACCTGGTATTGCCAAGTATTCAGCCACCCGGGCTACCCGTAGATCGTGTGCCAACCTTGGATCATTCATATCACTCCCAAAGGTCTTCAAAGGTACGATGTAAACTCTTATATAACTAGGGCAAGTACAATATAACCATTGCAGTAAATCTTGGGGCAGATCTTTCGAAATGAGGCTGTGGGGGCGCACAAATTTCATACCTTGGCAGCCCACGATATGACGTCGCCTTCACAATCTCCAGGTTTTAGGGGAGCCTAAAGAAAAATAAATAACAGCTTGAACCATTTCTGTCTTTCGCAACTGCTTCTCCTTTCAGGATATCTAGGAATCCACTATACCACAAGAAATAGACATTCCCCTTGCGCATCATCGTTGACCCGGTTCCAATTCGATATCCCTTTGTCATCTAAGCGCCACTGTCGCCCCTTAAGACATCATTTGAAACCTGGAATGCTGTATTCCTATGCTACATTGTACATAGATACAGGGATATAGGGTGAGTCGCACGATCGGGGAACATACTTGGAATCCATACCTTCTTTCCATCCTACAGGGAACCACTGACACCGATTGGAGAAGCTGCGACTGACAGGATACTATAGGCTCTCGTTCGCCTCGTCACTCTTTCAATCCTCAAACCCCCACTCTCTTTGAATTGGTCATTTAGCGGGCATACAAAGATCTTACACACCTTCATTGTTGCATCAAACTCAGTCTCGAAGAACAAATCACCACTCGAAAGTCGACAGTCGAAAGTCGCAAACATGTGGATTATATCATTTTGGATGTTTCCATTGGTGTCAGCCTGCATGTGGGTTGGTAAGGCATCCCTGCATGGAAATGGAACAGGATATCTTGTTCTGGGCTGCAGCTAACACGGTCCTAGCAATGTTGATCGCCATGCTGGTCACCTGGGTCAGAGACGGCAGACCGCACTATGCCAGTATGGAAGCGGGACAGACTATTGCGTATGTTTCCTCTCCGCTATTAGCCCATGCATGCGCTAATAGGTTTTCCTACAGGTACATTTCAGATGTTGGAGCACAAGGCTTGAAACCGCTGTTCATCGCAGGCAGCGTGGTTACCGTCGTGTTTCTCGATTTGGCATTCCTCTCCGAGCGGTGGCTTCGACACTCCAACCAGTTGGCCTCGAACAAGGGCAGGTTGGACAAGGCATGCGCTATTGCATCAATCTTTTTCGCGATCGCCGGTGCTGCTGGTCTGATCCTGCTCTCTATCTTTGATACCCTCCGCCACCCGAAACAGCACGACGGTTTCATCGCCCTGTTCATGTGAGTCTTGTGTACTCGACTATGTATAGTCAATTGTGAACTAATCAATGAATTTCTCTCCAGTGCTGGATACGTGATTAGTGCCATCTTGGTTTGCATCGAGTACCTTCGCATTGGAATCTTCTACCGTCGCGAGCACCGTATTCTGCTAGTCAGTTTCTTTATCAAGCTTGTCTTCGTCATCTTCGAGCTCTCCCTCGCCATCGCCTTCGGTGTCTGCATCGGCAGCAAAAAGTCGTCCAAGCAAAACCCCGGCGCGGTTATCGAGTGGACCATTGCTTTCGTCTTCACTGGCTACGTTATCTCCTTCGTTGTCGATCTATTGCCTTCAGTGCGCACACGCAACCACGTGCCTCAGGGTGAGAAGTACCTGATGAACCAGGGCGGATTCGGCGGAACCCGCGAAGAGGCTGTCTCTATCGAAGAACCCCTGACTCATGACTCGATGGGCCCAAGCACCGGCTTTTACCGCGGTCAGCGGGTCTAACTAATTCTCTTTGCTTCTTATATTCCTGTATTTACTTATACGACCTGCACGATGTCATCTGATACTCTGCTCTTGTTAATGTTTGTTTGATACCTGTCATGGATACTCTTTATATATGGTGTTTTCAGGTTGGGCGCCGTTGTCCTTAGAATACATATTTAGTCTTTAGCAATTCAATAACTCAATTTTAGATGCTTCCTATACTTCTAGATACGAAACGAAAATATCCAATCCTCCACCATTTATCATTCGCTTCCAAATGCCCATACATATAACAAGAAATGCTAGACCCATCCCAATGCCAGGTCATTATCGTATCTACATATCCCATATGAAATACAGAAATCCATATCCATCCATATACCCAAACTCCAAACCCCAAAAAACCCAAAAGAGAGAAAAAAAAACTCAAACCAAAAACTTCGCCCTAATTCTCTCCTGCATCTCAAACCCAACCCCAACACTCTCCAAGTACCCTTTAACACCCCCATACCTAGTCTCAAGGTACTCAGTCGTATCACGCACAAAGCCAGGCGGACAACGCGTATAGTCCTCCCCAAGCCCCAGCGCCCTAATCTCCTCCATCCTTTCCTCAAACTCCGACACAAGCTCCATCTCCGAGCGACTGTAGTCTTCAACAATCGCCTCCACCGGCACCACATTCCCAACAAGCAGCAACACAAGCAACACAACCAGGCCCGTCCGGTCCTTTCCCTGCGTGCAGTGCACGATCGTTGGGTAGGTCTCCTCGCAAGCCAGGAGCTGGAACACGGCGCGGATCTCGCTCATGCTGGAATCAAGCGTGTCTTGGGCTAGACCGGTTAGTCCGCGCGGTTGCATTACTGTCCCGCATACTAGACGGACTGCTTCGCTGCGGTAGCCTGTTGTTATCAGGCCGATTGTTTTGCTTTTTTGGGTATTAGTTGTTTGTTTGTATATAGGATATAGGTAATGCAATGTATGTAAAGCTGCAGGTGAAGAATGGAGAAGGGGGAGGGGGAAATTCTTACAGATATGTTGGCCAGTCTAGTTTCGATATTAAGGCGCGTTCGAAGCCTTTGCCGGTTAGGCTTATTAGAGCTCGTTTTGAGCCGGGGATTTCGAGCAGGTGCTCGGCTGGGTTTGAGGGGAGTGAGCCTGTCGGTGATGGTGATTTCTGTGATGGATTTGCTTTGGCATTTTCGCTTCGCCGTTTCCGCGTGCCCATTCGGTGTTCGGTTCTGTGTTGGGGATTAGTTTCTGTTTCTCGCGTGCTTGATTCTGCTGTTTTCTGTTTCGACATACTGGGAACGGAGATCGATGACGGTGTGAATGTGTAGTTCTTCTGCTAGACGGCGTTTATCTCGTTCTGAGGCATCGTCGAGCTGCAAATTGCAAGTTAGTTTTTTTTTTTTTTTCCTTCCTTCGTGTTTATTCTGACAACGCATCGATCGTATGAGCGGGGTTAGAATTACCCTCGCACTGCGGAAAAACACGCCTTCTTTCAAGATCCTACGTGAAATCGTTAGCAGCTGTGTCTAGAGAGACTTGAATATATGTATCTCGGGACTCCAGACGCGTCTGAACTCACTCTTTGTTACAGAATTGATTAACCGACCGGCCGACATCGCGGAAATTGATGATGTTGTCGAAAGGCCGATCCGGCGAGTCTAGATCCACGCTGTTATGGCGCGACATGGTGAATTAGGGATTAGGGAATATAAAGGAAATATAGACAGGAATCTTGTTAGAAATGAGAAGGAGGAGCGTGTTTAAACGTGTGGAGAAGTACAAATGGCGGTGGACGCGGACGTCGACGTTGGGCAGACATCGCGTTTTTGGCCGATAGTCGCCTGGACAATGAACGTTTTTGGCTTTTAGGAGTTATATTCATTCAATTGTCATTGGTTATGAGGATTTATTGGTGACTTTGGTGACTTTGTATGTGTGGGTGGTTTGAAGGGGTGACTGTACGAGTGTTATATTCCAAGGTCCTTTTGTATATTTTTAAAACCTCAATGTTGACAGTCTAGCGGTCTGTTACTTGATCTTCTAATCCTCAAAGCAAACAAAAAACAAGGAAGTAGCAATATACAGTGCTGAAACAGGTACCGGAGCTAAACAAAGAACTTAGATCTAGGCCCCGGGAAAATCCAGAACAAGGAAGGATCTCGATTCAATGTGTCATACAACACCACAGTCAACACCTTTATCAACTACACATATTGCTCCCGGTTGTTCTTCCATTGTGGCTGCAGGTATGACCAATCGTGATTGAAGTTGAATCCTGTACGATAAGCCCCATATGCAACCAGATCCACCTGACTCAGTCTCGCCCCTCGGTCCGTCAGCGCCCACAGACTCATCGCCAACGTGTTCTCCCCACGGTTATTGATCACGCCAGGTGGAAAAGGGAACCTAGTCTGGGGACCGATGTGTGGCAGGTAATGACCGAACTGGTACCCATTCATGAAGATCTGGACTACTGCGGGGAAATCAGCAGATGCATCGAGCTGCAGACCAATCGGAACGTCCAGGTCGGAGTCCAGGTCGAGCTGGAACGTCGTCGTGTAGAACCGGCCTGCTGCACCAGATATGCCGTCCAGCGGACTGTGCGAGGTTGCGGTCTTGGGCGCTTTGTATCCTGGGAGATGCCAACCGAGACGCTCTCCATAGAGACCCCCTTCGTTCATGGGTCCCCGGACGGGATCGATGTTGGCTTCGCCTCCTGCATTGCCTTGGATACGCCAGGAAGTGAATTCGCCACCAAGAAGCGTCGCGCCTAGTATACCACGCGGGTTTTGTGCTCCGTTTGGCGACACGTTCGCCTCGTCGTGGCCTGTGTAATCCATGATAACGGTCAGAACATTGTCTGTCTTGCGCAAGGTAGCGCTGTTGAATAGTAGCTCGGCTGATGTCGCGGCTAGGGTCGGATCACCAATGGCTCCGCCAACGTAGACTCCGTTTAGCCAGGCGGCCCAACCAGCGGCTGCGCCGTTCTGGACAGTGAGATTTGCGCCTGTCGCGGTCATGCCATCGAACCGTCCGCGATATATTCTCGTTCCGGCATGGTAGCCGTAGTCGCCAGAGTAAAGCACGGGAAGTGTGAGTGGTGCCACAGAGTTGACTGATCTCGTTTTGTTGCAGATGGTCCAGCGAGAATCATCGTAGTCTGCCTTAATCTCCGGAAGGGTATCTTGCGCTTTCCATGATTTCAGAGTCGGCAGCGATACTTTGGCTTGGGCTCCCGGGGCTGATCCGATTAAGCTGCCGTATGGTGTCTTCTTGGTTGAGATCTCTTTGCCATTCCACTTGATTTTGGTCACCTTTGAGTTGCCCGTGTAGACCCTAACAGCATATATTAGCGAGTAAATTATTTGAGAGCTTCGCGCTTACTCAATAGATGTTGTGTTTGCGTTGTCACCAACAAGACTGACAGTATCCCCACTGACAGTTGCTGTGCGAACGAGATATGGCCCAAGGGCAATGATCTGCTCACTGGGAACCACATTCGGATTGGAAGTAGTCGGTACTGCAAAGAAGTTCCACGCTGTCTCCTTATCAAGAAGGTAGACCAGTACGCCGTGCGAGAATTTCAGCACTGTCGTGCCATCCCCTTGAGTGTATGTGTATTTCGTGCCATGATTCGATGCACCAGAGTTGACTTTCGAATTCCCGTAAGTTTGGAAAGTCAGATGGGTCGGTGCGTCTTTGAATACAAACTCTCCTTTTTGTCCGATATTCAGATAGAAGACAATAACATCTATGTCGAGGGTGGCGTAGGTCAAGACCTCGGCGGATGAATAGAGCAAGCTCGAGCCCTGGCCAATCCGGTAGTCAGTGACGATAATTTTGCTCTGACGGCCGGCCAACTCAATATTAGGGATTGTCAGGGCCCCTGTCGTGTAGAATTCAAGTTAGCGCAATTATTCCTCTCAAACACTGGAGTACGTACCAGCCGATGTATTGACATTAAGTGAAGTAGTGGTCACAGCACGAGATGAGCTGGTAGAGTGCGCGAGAACATAGAAACCGGCTTGGGTTTCTGGGTTTCGCAAGGCCCACGTATATATACCCGCATCACTGGTGTACCCTGTTCCATTCCCTTCCATTTGCATTTGTAAAAGACCAGATGACACGCGCGTAAACAGACCGATCAACTTGGTCTGCTTGAGTTTGTCCCGAATCTCACGCGTCTCTCGCATGGGCGCAGAGTAGTCATATGAAGTATAGACAACCGGAGCAGCACTGTGGCCCCAAGAAGTTGCCCCCATCACCATATATATATTCTGCAATGTGACTCTGGAGCCGATATTATTCTTATAGTAGACATCGGCGAATTCAGGCGAAAGCTCGGTAGAACATTGATCGTAGAACGTCCCTCCCCAGGGGGAGAACCAACCGCCCTCAAACTCCGGCAGATACTCGGGCTGAGAACTCGAGTAATTCTGGAACCATTGGTAATAAGTGCGGACGAGATTGAACCCAGTATCTGGATTGGTACAGGACAGACCACCAGGATAGGAGTCCAAACCATAGACATTGACGGCACCACCCACATCCTGGTAGTCCGTCGACCAGCTCATAGAGCGCATTCCCTTCTCATTATGCGTGCTCGGGACAACGATACCAGCCTCATTGAAGGCGGCTTTAACTTGTTCCATGTACTTGACAACAGTGTTATTGGCACTGTGTGTTGTCTCCTGCAACTCATTCTCGTGCTGATTGAGAATGACCGGACCACCGCTTGTGATTTGGTTTGCGGCGATGATCTTTCCGATCTTCTGGATCCACGGATACCATCGGTCATAGTAGGTGCTTGCGCTCGTGCGCGTGCTGCCCATTTGCCCATTGGATGCCCACAGTGCGAAACCACCAGCAGAGGTCTCAGCATTGCAGTAAGGTCCCGCGCGCGCAATCACATACAGACCTGCCTGCTTGGCATAATCAAAGACGCGCTGGACGTCGTGGGCACCGTTCTCGAAGTCGAAAGTATCTTCGGAAGCGGAGTGGAAATTCCAGAAGAAGTAGACTAGTCTCAATGAGTACCAGTGCAGCCTGGGTGTTGTCAAGCCACTCACTAGAAATCGCATTGAATCCATTTGCGCGTAGCTTCTGAAATACGTCGAGCCAAAGCTCCGGCACGGGGAGTCGCTGGTAGTGGAATTCACCAGAGAACACATATACCCTCTCTCCTTTAACTGAGAGGCTGTATTGATCCCATGTCACATCAGTAGTCTTGCCATTATCTGTCGCAGAGACGAAATGGCTGGATATGAGTCCAAGGAGTATAGGGAGAATCGTGAGAAGACGCATTATTGGGGGCTGCACAGGTACTCTCCATCTTGGAATATGACTTGTTATAATGTGTGTATGCTTCGGTCCTCGCTACAGAAATACCCCGTACTCTGCTGGGATTGGTGGATGTTTTGTTTTGGAGATCGAATGTCGGATTAGGCAATTTTCCATGAAGATGCGGGGGAATGATCGGCTTTTGACTAGGGACAGGTGGTTCTGAATGAATTTTGGACATTGAATACAGATATACAAATATGCGTCTGTACTTGATTTCCTCTGCCACTTCTTGGCTTTCCCTTTCCGTCTTAGTGCTCAGTCCTTGCCGCTTTTTGCTCACTGAGGACAACTGAGCACGTCGCTGAGTATTACATAAGCTCACGGACTTGCTCAATAAAATGCACCACGCTAGCATCCAAATGCAGTTATTCACCAGAACTCAAGCCCACTCTTGACCGTTGTTCCCTCAACGAAAAGATGCTATGCCACTATTCAACTCGCCAAGTCTCGTATTCCACAATACCGTCTCTACATAGTTGCGGGAAATATCCAACCCTCAGGGACTGAACGCACTTTTGGGCGGTTATGTTACGATCAAGGCTTGGTAGTTCTTTTCTTATGTCGTTGGCTCGTTGGCTCCTTCCTTCTCTATAGGGATCGTTCCTTCCTAAGCTGTAGGAGAGTATACTAGATTTTGCCTGGCAAGGAGAAGGGTACAAAACTCACAATGGCCCTGATTCCTTTCCTTTCCCCCCCATGTTCGATGTTCTAGTTAGAATGTACTCTTTTTCATAAAGCATCGGCGCGTAATATTATATATTACACATGCGGTTTAGACCGACACTTTAGGATAGAGGATATTTGAGCTTATGAGATGATATTATCGGCTGTAGTTGGACCCCAGAAGAGATATCGATTGAGTTGACTCCTATGGCCCCTGACACTACTGTTTACTCATAGCTGAGACAGATCTCAGCTGACCGAGAGCTTCCCCATTGAATGCCTCACTTGTCACCGTCCAGTGCCGAGAAATCAGTCTCTTGGCAATATTCACGGAACGAGGTCATTTTCAGACCAAGCTATAGAAAGGTCAGTCATGTCCCAGAGTGGCAACGAGATCGAATAGGATAACATACCTTCTCTGGTCGTACAACAGCAGGATCGATACCTTCGTACCCGAACTCATGTGCAAATAATACATTGTGAGCAAATTCGTGACCAAGACCTCCGGGAAGCAACTCGCAGAATTTATCGTAGGAAAGCTCGTCGTAGCCACCATACTTGAAACCTTGGGTTTCGCAAAAGATGCGGAGGTAATCTGACCACGATACATATTCACCAACAGCAAATAAATTGACATTGGGCTCGGACTCTGCAACTGCCCTGACGCAAGGGCCGAAATCCTTGCGGACATGCCCGAACGGAATGCCCTTGTCACCTGGGCCAATTCCTGTCATTCGCCAGGTGCCATCAACTACCTATGCAACGAGTCAATACCTTCAAAATACGCCCGGGAATTACGAAAAAAAAACAAAAGTCCTGGCGGGGCGATTTCATGATTCATACCTTCTTCGGGGTTGTAGGAAGTCCCCACTCCCAAGGGAGCTGGAAATATATGGGCGCCTGAACCTGCGAGAATTTTCCAGCCAGGGCCGGGATGCTCTGTGCGTAGATGGCAGCGTCTGCTTTAGAATCCATGTGATAAAGTTCGGTGAACTTGCTGTTACTGGAATTCTTCGCATGGGCCATTGAGCTGAAGATGTATCGGGATAGGCCAGGAACAGTGGCCGCAGCATCGGCAATATTCTTGCCCTGTTGGAGCTCGACATCGTGGCAATATTCCACAAGTGATTGGCCGGGCTTCTTCTTCTGGTGACTTTCTGGATCTTTGAAGATTGTCCAGAAGTCGGTGACACCAAAAATAATGTCGGCTCCCACAAAGGCCTCGCTCAAGGATGCCACATCATCAAGGTCACCTTTGATCATTTCAACACCTTTCATCTCCCATTTCTTTGCAGTATCAGATGCCGGATTGCGCGTCACACCGCGAATCTTCCAGCCCGGATTCACAAGGTAAGCGTCGGCGACGGAGCTTCCCTTCAGCTTTGGTGTTAGTAACCTCAGGCAATATCCAAAGAAATTGTACAGGGAGCGATTCTAACTTACTTGCACACCCGTAATACCGAGGATCACAATAAGTCGCGACATTGTGGAAGATGTTCGGTAATAATAAGATAATGACCACTCAACCGAAAAAGTGATTGAGTGTCTTGGGCTCCAATAATCGAATCTTCGATATCCTCTCAACCCTGGAACCTGGCAAGACCTCAGAATTTATATCTTGGACTTCCAAAAAAAGGCATCATGAGACATGACCAAGCTGTACTTCCTGATTGATAATCTGCATTTCCGTTGCCGGTCGCTTGGTAATATAGGAATGACGCAAGCAATTATCCCAGGAATCTCGTGAATGTCGATACTGCAGGGCAGAATCATCTGGTTTGCGATCAGAGAAGCCAGAGAGACCCACTTAATTGAATTTGAATTTGACTTTCGCCGTTGAACTTAAAGTCGCGCTAGGCTGTGGGGTAACAGGGACCGACATCCCTATCCGGTTAGGCTGGACTGCTCACTGCTTTCCCAATCGGGAACATAGTCATATATTGCTTGTATCCCTATCAACGAGTGCCACAGCGTTCTCTTTGTCTAGTCAGATGTAAGAGTCTGGCCCATTCCACGGATTTGGGCAATATCGGACTTCGGGGCCTGAATTAATAATATCGAATTCGATGAGTGCTGTATGTCTGCATCCTACTTAAAGCAAAGCTATTCGCTACATCACCGTAACATCTTTCCTCACGCTTCCACATTTCACTGACATTGATTTCATTTTACATCTTCCCTCCAAAGCTCTGACTTGCGACATGGCCCTCAACAAGGAACTGTCCTCAACCTATAACCAGTTTCTTGAAACTGCGCCGAAGGAAGTGTCTTCCATCATCACGGACGCGGTCAGAGACTTTAAAAACAGTTACGATCCTGCTAGAGCGATCCAGCCGGGGGACGCCTTTCCACAATTTCACCTGAGCGATGCGACCGGTAACGAAGTGTCGTTGAATGATCTCCTTGTTGAAGGACCCATCCTGATATCTTTTTATCGGGGTGAATGGTGTCCCTTCTGCAACCTCGAGCTGCGTGCGCTTCAGAGCCATATGGACGAGTTTCACCAGAAAGGCGTGACATTGGTAGCTGTGTCTCCGGAGCTACCTGATCATTCTCTGACCACATCTGAGAAACTGTTGTTGAAGTTTCCAGTGCTTTCGGATGTTGGTAATCAGCTGGCGAAGAAACTTGGCCTGTTGTTCCCTCAGCCCGAGTCTATGCGGACCGTTTTCGACAAATTTGGCGTGGATTGGAACCAGCGGTACGGCAATGACAACCTGGAGCTTCCGGTTCCGGCAACTTTCCTGGTTGATAAGAAGGGAATTGTGCGCAATTCCTTTGTGAATCCTCAGTATCGTCACCGATTGGAGCCCGAGATTGCTATTGAGTGGATTGACCGGCTTTGATGTTGGCTTTTGCTGCGCGCTATCTTCACACTCGCTTTGAGGTCTGCTGCGGCTGGAATATACGCGCGGGGGAGGGGGCTGGTTGATTGGGTTTCATATCGTTAGTTTGGCTTCGAAGGATCTCGACACCAAATCCCAAGTAACTCGGCGAGTGTTGAGTCATGACGCTTTTCTCCATCCCGAAGAAACCTGTGCCGTGGCTCGTGGTCGATCTTTTCTAGTCTCGCTTCCTCTACTCTAGAATAAACACATTCGTTGACTTGCACTTTTAGTATGCTGCTCCTGTAACTCTGCTTGAACCATAAATCTCCGTGCTAAATGTGCTTTTGACGTATTATTTAATCCGGTGCTCTATATTTTGAATTCTTGGCATCTCGTATCAGTGAATACGAAACTAGTGATGAGCAGGTCACCAATTCTGCTGAGATCGCGCATGGATTACAAAGCAGCCCACAGTACTTTGCTGATTAATGCCCTGGTCGTCGTGGAACATCAGGTGAGCCACACGACGTTGAGAAGACATTAGGACAACCTAATTGATCCTAACACTGAAGAAAACAATGGATAGTGTAGACTGGAAGTCTAGGGGTGCTGAGCCACCGACACGGGATGCGCAGATCCTCCCTGCCCGTCCCTCACACGGATCACGAATGTTGGCAAGGAAGCTTACGAGTGTCCAACCGTCGGCAACTCAAGACCTCAGGTTCATAAACCTATCTCACCCAGATGACTTACACCGACAAAAAGAGGTAAGAACGGAGATCCGTCGCCATGTCATGAAGGATATAGGCCAACGACGGAGACGCCCACAACCCAATGCAACCTCTTCGCAAGCCACCCGAACATTTTCTTCGGAGTCAAATGGTTACAAAATCTCTCAGCTTCGTGGCGCAATCATAAACAGCGTTTCACCCAGCCAAAACTTAGCTATGCTCGCTCACTTCCCTGTGGAGGCTGATATGCGCGCTCTCGAACTGATGCACTCTGGTAAGAGTTCCAAGCTTTCCGTTGGCCTCTAGCTCCTCTCATCTGTTAATGCTTGCTCTATATTAGTCGTCACGGGCCCTTATCAGCCATTCAGGGGTGTTTGGATTGAGGTAGCCCTATGTGACCCCGGGGCATTCCATGTGACTCTCGGCAATGCTGCTGATTTTCTCAATAAGATTAATGGCAATCAAAGTGTGAAAAGTCCGGAGGCTTTGAGTCACTTTGAAATTTCAACAAGGAAACTAAGACAGCGTCTTAATAACTTCACGGAGAGTATTAGTGAAGGGGCTATTGCCAATATATTGGCCCATGTCTGTCTCACTGTATGTGCTATATTCCTGAATATGAGCTCTTGAATAACCTCTTTTCCATAGATGAGGCACTGTGATTGGGATAGCTGGAGTATTCACATGGATGGTTTGAGTCTCATAGCGAAACTACGTGGCGGGTTTGCCGACCTCGGACATCGCATGTCACTTCTCATACTGCTGTGAGTACTCCGTACCTCTTTCATTTTCTAGACAAAACTTCTGACTGTTCCTTGCAAAGGTACGATCTAGCTGGTGCCATGGTCTTTGATTCCTATCCGCGATTCGGTCTCCCAGCAGAGTTTGTTGGCATATCCAATATATCTTCGAGAGGGCTTGCCCCTAGGCTACAAGCTTTACTTGTCCAACCCATATCGCCCGCATTTTTCCCAGCGGGCCAAGCATTAACAATGGTTTCCTCAATTGCGGATGTGATAAATACCACTAGTCACTCCGCATCATTCTGGAAAAGGGATATCGATGCAATCCGCCTGATCGGTCCCTGTATTCACTTTTTGCTCTCAATGCCGAGATTTCCCAGCAATTTCGAGGCCATGGCTGATCCCGAAGACCTTATCGCGAGAGAATTGGTTCGACTTACATGTCTTATGCTTATGTCGAAATTGAAGGGACAATTCGCATTCCCCCCGAGTGAGCTAGTTTCACTACCTGCTAGGCTTGCCGAATTCGTGCCTCCGAATGTAAAGAGGCTCGGAAAAAAGTACTTTGAGCTGAAAATTTGGGCCCTTGTCACCATTGCTTTATTGCGATATTGTGACGGAAGAGAGGTATACATACAGGAGATGAAAAGAGAAATGTCTGCAATGGAAAAAGCGACACCTTACGAAATTACTGGGATTGCCAGAGATATCGTCTGGATCGACATCTTGATGTCACCATTTTCAGAGGAGCTCGCAGCGGATATGAAACTACACGTCACTCCTCAAGGAACCTGTTGAGGTCATTGACGCTAAATCTAATAAGAAATATCAACCCACGGGTTTCAGCAGAATGAAAATGTAAATTTGCGTGCATAGCTCTATCTGAAACCAAGACAAGTCGTGGATGTCACAACTATTGCGGGATGGAGTAGCTGTGTCAGTTTCTCAGGATATCAGAGTAATTGAAAATAGGGAGTACACCCCAAGACGATCATTGTGAGATCTCATTTGTATTGGTTATTTGGATCTGTATTTACATAGGCTGGCGGGATGAAGGAAATGGGCTGATTTCCGCACTCTTTTCAGATCAGCATCTGTTTTCCATTTCGGCAATGTTGTTACGTGAGAAACCAGGCATCTACCGGCACTTGATTAATGAAACCTTGAACGACGGTGATATTTCATGCACAGAACTTGGAAAACTAATCACCAGGCCCCAACCTCTTCCATTCATAACCTTCTCGCATACCGGTTTACTTCTCAAATATGGCTAAACCTTGTGACCGCTGACCAGCGCCCAACTTGTCCAGCTCAAAATGCTGGATCTGCCGGCCCTTGAAAGAGTCAACAACGGTTAAAGCAGCGACTGTGGTGCCATTTCCTGGGGAAAGTGCGTATACATAATGGCCGATGGCTCTGACATCGGTGAGACCGGGGTCGCCATTTCTCAGGTCTAGGATCGTTAAGATCTTCGAGTTATCATTGCGGACTTCAACTAGTCTGTTAGATGCTGCGTCGGTTAAAAATACACTCTCTCGCAACGGAGAGTAGGTAGCCCAACACGTGGCTTTCTGGCCTTCGATGGTGATCTTGTGCTTGAGAGAGACTTCATCGGTGACGTCATCGAGGATAAGAACAGTGGCTCCGAAAGATGCGTCCGTGATGAATAGGTCAGATGTGCCGGGGATTTCAACGCCACCAAATAGCACTGCCGTACTGGGCGGAGAGCTTCGAATATCATGACTCTCGAAGACCGACGAACACGAATCTTTGAATGGCAGGACAGATACAAAGCCTGCTTTGCCAGCAGATGGGTCCCCCTTCACCGTGGTGATTAGACGTGTATCGTTTGCGGCAAAGAAGACCTGTGCGACTGTATTTGTTGGCCCAACTGGAGGTGTGGTTTGGTGGAGTTCGAAATCAACTACTTGATCCATCTGCTGTAGGCCCTCTTCAGCGCAGGAAACGCCGGATTTGGCCCCAGTGTATCCCACGCAAGGAGCACCACTCCCAGGTGAATTGGAATAGAAAAATGCATCCTGGTATAACAAGTAGACCACTAGCAGTGAAGAGGGGAAAGAAAGATGAAGTTGAGCTGAGATGTTTTCTTGAGAATTACCACTGCTCCCAAGGCCTTTAAGTATCATTTTCTTGAAATATCAATAACTAAACCCGCGTGAAAAGATGTTATGAATCTACCGATTCAGGAAACCATGTTTAAGTCAACAATGCTACGCTAGCGGTTCCACACGCCGTCGTTTTGTATTTCAAATCATTCGAGATAGTCTGGAAAAGTAAGAATGTTTGAATCGTCACTCTATGCCCGCCCGTGTGTGGGAGTCTCGTACGGAGTAATCGAAACATTTTAGAGATCAGTAGTTCGATATAGACTTCGGCTTAGCCCCGAATAGACGAAAGTGATTCAGTCAACAATCCGCTTACATTTATGGGTCTCACGGAAAAGCCGATCTTCCGCTGATAATCTTGAAGTCCAAGTTTGGAGCTTCATTGTAATTTCTAATCCAAGGTCATCTATCTCCTCTGCACCGATCTGACGGACTTGACGTGATACCAAGCTCCACAGACCCAACATGAAAAAAGCATTTACTTTCCTTCCTGGATAGAGCTGTTGTTGAAATCCGGTGCCAATGTGAATGCAAGAACAGTCAGACATAGCACGTCTCTGCATTTGGCAGTCGACCAAGACGCAGCGAACGAAGTGACTGGATTACTTTTTGGGTACAGGGTAGATTGGAACAGTTCAAATGAAAAGGACGGACTTGATACACCGTTGAAAACAATGGTAAGTCGCCTTGGTGACATGTCGACCGGTTTGTATATTTCAGAGACATCGTTAATTAGATCGATTATATACCAAGCATCCAAAAATCATTAGCAAAGTAAAACAATCCGACCCTAATATCCTCCAGAAGCACCGATTTCAAATTCCACAACACCAATAATCATCCCAAGATCCAAAAATAATAAAATCGTACATCAAGTCAAACGTTTCAAATAGAAATACACATCAACATTCAATATGAATATCACAGATTCTCGGAGAATCTCGATTCTCTTCTCCCGTTCAGTGTGTCGCCAATACTAGGTGGCACAGGAAGACTCTGCCCGATAGTACTATCCTGCAGACTCTGGAGATCACCGTTCCCGACACCCTTAGACGCAGATTGAACTCCCGAATCACGACGGGAGTCACCCTCGTTCGACCCATCGGGGCTACCGGAGACGGCCTTGCGTAATGTCCTGCTCAGACGGTTCCTCTTCCTGCCATTGCGATTTTGCTTGGTAAACTTTGGCAAAGGATCAGCACTATGGATCTTGGCCACGTCAATGTCGTTGCTGTAGTAGCTCGAAGATCTGTTGTGCGTCGGGACAGGTTCAATCACACCAGGAGGATGTGAGGCAAGCGCTACGCTGCGGGGCTCGTCGCGGCCGGTCAGAGTGGCGCCGCCTTGAAAGGCAGGTTCGCTGTCCGTGTTAATGTCCGGACCTGGCTGATGAGGGTAGATGGGGACTGGGCCACTGGAGCGGCGAACGAGACGGTCGCGGAACCAGTTCTTGAGCTTCGTGTCGGCGCGCGGGCTTGTAACTGGTGGCGTGAAGTAGTGCACCATCGTTGGGCCTGAGGCGGCTGCATCTCGCTGCTCAATCTGGGCGGGCTCGGTCTGGCTTCGTAACGGCCGCCGCGGGATTGCTGCGGGCACGTCACTCTCGTCGGTCTTTGAAGGTTCAGTCTCTGAGACCGAGGAGTCAGCTGCAAGAACAGTTGTAGGACCGGCTATTTCAGTCTCAACAGAAGCTTCGTCAGGGATGACGCTCGAAACATTGTCGTCTGTCGCAACATTGTCCTGTGTCTCAACATTGCGTTCTGTTGCAACATTGCCTTCTGTCTCAGTATTGCCTTCTGTCTCAGTATTGCCTTCTGTCTCAGTATTGCCTTCTGTCCCAACATTGCCCCCTGTCTCAGTAGAAGCGTGCTCGGGAGTGATGTCTGTCGCAACATTGTCGTCCACTGCTGTAGCCGGAGCCGGCTCTACTACAGCTTCCTGGGTAACAGGCGAGACAGCTTCGGCCTCTTCGGTTTCGGATTTCTCAACCCGAGCTCGTTTGCCCTTCTTCCTCCATAAGAAGAATTTGGGAATCTTGCTCTCGAATTTTTCGTGCTTGCTTGCACCTGATTTATTGGTCAGAACATATCAAGAAAAAATGACAGGGTAACTGACCTTTTTCTTGCTTCTCCAACTCTTTCACCTCAGCTTCGCGTTGACGCTCCAAATCAGCACGTCGCTGCTCCTCCTCAGCGTCCAAACGGGCTTCGATATCATGGGCTCTCCGTAATTCGGCATTCTCGGTAATCTCATCGAAAGCGGGCTGAAGGCGAGCCCGAGCTACAGCATCGACGTCGGCCATGTCCATATACCTTTGGCCGCCGATGTTCACTCGATTGTCTTGGGTGGTAGCGGCTTCGAAATCCTCTGCCTCCTGTCGTACGCGCTCCTGGGCAACTTCATCCCAACCCCTCTGGACGGAAGGCGGAGCGCGACCGGTGTCCGCATAAACCTGCGCCTCCATGTCCTGGAGGGTTTGCTCCACGTTGCGGCGAGCAGCCTGCATAAGCAACTCACGATCCTTGTTCTTCTGCACATCTACTTGGCCCAGCTTGGTCCGCAGGCTAGTCATCTGGTTCCGGATTTGCCGCGACTGCTCTACATCGAGCTGAGAGGCATCCACATCGCTAGAAGTTCTCTTGCGGCGGGTGGTCAAGCGCGACCGTTGCGGTTGCGGTGCGGTGCCATAATATTGTTGGTATTCTGCATGCTCATCCTGCATAAGAGCAAGTTTCTCGGAAGCTCGCTTTTGCGCTGCTTCTTGTAGTGCGATCGCCCGCCGGATAGCATCTCCATCTGCGGTGGATACGGTCTTGCGGTAGCCCAACTGACTTTGTCCTCTTTGGGCTGCTAGGATGGCAGCGGATCTGCCGGGTTGTTTCTTGGTACTGGTGACTCTGTACATGTCCCTTGCCATTGAGATGGCAGCAGCGCGTTGCGAGTTCTTGTAGTTTTGTTCCTCAATGTCGCTTTGTATTGGTGGCGATGAAGTATATAGCTTCGGGTTAGTGCTAGCGGCATGCTGTATCCTGCTTGCTTCTATGGCATGGTCTAAGTGGTTAAGGGGGGGCTCCACTTCCACACGAGCATTTTGCGACGCGCTAGCAGCTGAACGGCTGTATGGTATTTCTGAGGCAACCCCTGGATCACTGGGTGCCGAGTCGGCTCTCTTACGCGAGAGCGTGTAAGCGCCCGACGCAGCCTGGAGCGCCTTGTCCTTCGGGTTACCACCGACGGCTGTGTAGTGGAAACGATCGGTCGCTGAGCTGTCACGCCTATGGGAAGTGGACGTAGGGGCCTGGCTCACGGAAGCCCTTTGTTCACGAACAGCGAGCATTGCAGCTCCCAGTCCCTCTGCACTGTGCTGAGAGGTTGGTTGGGGTTGCTGGGGCGGAACATAGTCCTTCACGCACAATGCGGCTTTCTCGGCGGCAGGCTGTCTTGCTGGGGGCCGCCATACTTCGACAGGTTTGCGATTCGCATGTGCGAGAGCGGAAGCAGCGGAGGCGTGGCTGAGGTTTGGAGTACCACCGACCGCGCGTGGGTCTACCGCAAATAACATTGTCAGCTTGTGTGTATTTCACTTATCGAGGGACCATACTCACTGAAGTTCTGGGTATTAATCGGGGTCGGGGCGCGAAGAGATGCCCTACGTTCAGGGTGTGTCACATATAAGGCAGCAGTCGCGGCTAATCTCACGTGAGGTTAGCGATCCGACGGATATCCTGGGATGCACGATCATCTTACCATCATCTGCCAGCCGGGACTGGCGAGTCACTTGCACAGTTGCCATAATTCAGGAACTGCAAATTCCAATATAACCAAAGTCATGAAAAAGAAAAAGAGGACAGCAGAGAACAAAACTATAAGGCGAGGTGGATATGGAATGGAAGTCCGGAAAGCTTCTTTGATCCCCGTGACGTCGATTGGGAAGCCATTGCATCATCGCTTTGGAGATTTTGGGATTTTTTTATGGAGACGATCGATCTGTCCCGGAGCTACGCTACTCCAAGCTCCATAGGGGCTAGTGAAAGATCTAAGTGGAGTGAAGATTCCGCATTCGAACAAGCGGAGGCCCGTTTTTCGGTGGTGACGCGAGGACTCGGAGTTCTGATTTACTTCTGAATGAACCCTGATCTACGTCGATCTACGTCGATCCTTCATATTTCATTCGGATACTACATGTACCTATGTACCTATATGTAGGTACGAAGTACGGTGATGTACATCGAAGTTAGTCGTGAGCACCTTAATAATAAGGCAGGGATCGCCAAGGATTTCATTATGACCGATGAACGAGAATCAAAAGGTCATAAAGTCCCCATAAATAATATCCATGTAGTATTCCGACGTATTGTACGAGTCCAACATATCATGACCCAAAGTGTCATGCTTCCAATGTTGCTTCCAATCACCGTCATCTCGCTCTTATTTGGACACAAGAACTTCCCATTTGTCTGCACATTACACCACACCAGCCGTGTATCATTTAGCTAGTCGCGAGTCGACATATATAGACGCATCCACAACAGAAATCGAAAAGCCCGCAACTGTGCGAATTTATACAGGCTTGCGCACACTTGCAGAATTCTAACTACTAATTTCATACCCAACTCGATGGATCATCTCTCTTATCGCAAAGGTGTTGTATAAAATTGCAGGAATAGTTTCTTCGGGTACTGGAAATAGATTGATGGACATTTGCAGAAATGGTTCACTCAGATACTCGACATAACTTGATAGTTAACAGTTGATCAGAGAAGAACAGGTCCCTCGCCTCGACCGGTGGGTTTCAATATCATGCCGAGGCCAATTGCCCAGTCATCCCTTCCTGTCTCTTGAATGAGCTCCTCCGCCAAGTCTAGTCTCCGCGTGTAAGGGGTCGGCTTTCCAACCACCTTAAGCATACGCCCATACATTCGGAAACCCTTTGATAATCCCGTACATAATTCCAATAGCCCCGCCGATACAAGCATCAGACAAAGGAGACACAGGCTACCCATTATGGATGAATTTCCCGAGATGACAGCGGACAAATATACCATGAGTGTCGAGAAGGTGATGAGTAGCTCGTCAAGCAAAGTTTTGTCTCGGAGCCATTGCCCGGAAGTAACAGCCTTCAAGTCATCGACTGTGCCCCGAAGACGAATCCATCGATCTTGTGTGAGTAAAATGAGAAGATCACCGTTCACCCCGGGCTCTGTCTCGCCTTTCCAGTCAATGTGACTCCGTATCTTGATAGACCAGGTGTTGCAGATTCTAGCAGTCATCCACATGGCAAGTGTCACCAGGGCCCACCAATCTTCCAACAATGCAAGGATGATAATCACAGCGACTGTCAAGATCTGACCAATTGCATAGAGGAAGAGTAGAGTCTTACCAGGGCTTTCGATCAAGCATCTCAACTTCTCCTTTATGGTAGTCGGCGGCAAGTCCACGACTAGGTTGAGTAGATTACCCGTTTTTCCGACACTTTGCAAAAAGTGCACCGTGGCTTCATTCTCAATCCGAAAGACGTATCCTGACGTCAAAGCTCCTGTTGGGGGTAATTCTCCGCCACTAAGACTAGGGGCTGAGGAATGTTTGTGCATGCCGGGTGCCAGAAAAGGATATCCGCGAGGGATGAAGTACCAGTGATAGCAGTCCATTTGGCGATACTCTGAAGATCCGCCAGAGCTACTAGACCAGCGGCGTCAAGCTGGAATTTGCCAGAAAGGTCGGATAGGGCTTGTTGGAAGTTCATTTTGTTAGGATCTGTGGCCGAAGAAGGAAAGGTGGGCTGAGAATGAGAGATAAATTCAAAAGGTCGTAGACAATCCTATTTATATGAAGCGAACTGAGAGTGACTCCGATGTCTTCATATACACAAATAGGCCGAATTCCCATACTGAAAGCAGTTTCCTGTCTACGCCAGCCTCACCGTGGTTCGTCCAATAGGAAGGTGTTCTCACCCTCCAACTTTCGTGATTGCTATTTTTGCTGCGATGTTTCTTTTGTTTCCCAAAGGCCATTCTCTTTATGCTGTTTCGTGTATGTTTTGTCGCTTATGGACTCACCTAGGACGCATAAGCGGGGCTAATGGTCAGGAAAAATGCTATACTGTACCGTACCTTTAGTATTCATTATATCTTTGATGCCAATTACTAGCCCATGCAGCGGCCCTCTCTGGTCTTGGGGAATCCAATCTAGCTCACGAGCTTGACTGAGTACAAATGCGGGATCTGATGCAAACTCAGTAGATATTCTTCGTTTGGATCACAGACATGAGCGGGGAAAAGTTTACCTAGAAATGCCCATGCTTTGACAATGCAGTCCCGTTCCTCAATGCGTGCTAAGAGAGAATGGGCGTATTCCTCGACAGTGATCGTGTTCTTCTGGAGTATATCCCGCACTTGAGTGGCGGTCAAGAGATACGGCTTTTCCACCATGGTCGATGATAGTTGGGTTCCGGACGGTGAGGGCCAATGGCGGTTAAAATACTGGACTCACTCGAGATAGAGAAGTCGCACGACTAGATAATGTGCATAGCAAAGAAGACCTCAAGAAGAACCGCATGGTGGGGTAGGTATCTAAGGAAAACATGGATTCTTGAAGTGGATGTTTCAGCACGACTTTGTTTAGTCTGGAGATATTTTGAGAGGCACCATTGATTGGCGATAGCATGCTCCAGATTCGAATATCTAAGTTGCGATATAAGCCACAATCGAGTTAGAGTCATCAAAGACGGAGGACAACCTCGGAAAGATCGTGTGTGACAAAGGAAGTGGGGGAAAACGAGCGATGTCGTACCGGTAGCTAATCAAAATACGACGTGAAGCCGAGTCTTGGAAATGACGGTGGTGGAAGAAAGGAAGGGGGGAAATGGGGGCAAAGAAGAAAGAAAAGCGAAAATAGAAGTCCAGCCACGGAAGAATTCTGTCCCTGGCTATGCATGGTCTTTCTTCGATGCAATATTGCTGCCAATATGTAACATGGAATGACCAGATCCATCGAAGACTTTGATTTCGATGTTATTTGTTTGGCTGGCCAACTCAGCATTGTCACCAATCTGACCCACGAAATCATCCTTCACTTAGACCTCTCCGACATGGATGGTGCGTCGCTGGAGTTCCATGCGGAGAATACGCTTCAGAACATCATCTTCGCCGTCTATAACCTCCCTCAAGAGTTGTAGGCTGCCGGAACTCATAGCCTGGATCTCCTTCCTACGCAGCTGTCCCTGTTCATTGGCTGTGGAGGGGAAACAACTCCACCAAGTTATTGACCAAATCGGAAATGTTCTCGACTAAATTCTCATAGTTTCCTCGCTTGTAAAGAGCCCAAGCAACTCGGTCTCTCTTCCGTGGCTTCAAACGCCCATGGATAATATCTGGCATGGTGAGGTGGAGACCGTTCAGCGAATCGCTCGCTTTCGCAAGTTCGATATCTGTGTCGAGGAGCAACAATCACTCATGTCATGTAAAATCATAGATACCCGCCCCTTGAACTGCCCAAGGATTGCGACGTTACGCATTACCGGAGATAAAGCATGTCGAGGATGTCATGACGGGCAAAGAAAGACCGGTTCCATTTTCCAAAGACATCTATACCGGGAAACGGTTAGTCGGGTGCACAACACATCACCCAGTAAAACTTACACATGGGAATACTCAACAGGCAGATGCCCATTTGGATGCTACCGATGACAATCATGGTATGCTTGATGCCTCCGTGGGCAAACCATTTGTAGGCAAAAAAGGTCAGGACAAAGCTAAACATGTTTTTGAAAACCAACATGCAGGTAAATGCCTCAATGGCCATCTCGCCTAGTAATGTCAGCAATCATTTCCACGCAAGACCTAGGAGTCCACATACGATGGGCATCGACGATATAGAGTGAAGCAGCAACGGCTCCCATAACCATGCCGACGATCAAGAATGCAAAGAAGACGTCTGGCAGCAGCCAGCCATAGTGCATCACATTATTAGCAGTCCACCCGAACCCATACAGTCCGATACCACAGAAAATGAGCTGGGGAATCACCAAGAGGATCCGGAACTCAGGCTCGTATTTACCGTGGTTGAGCCGGATCATCAGCTTGTTGATGGAATCAGAAAGCAGACCAGACAGAATGAGGCCTACAACAGAGCCGATAAAGGCACCCGTGTAAAGATATCCGGTTTTGTCTTCCTCGAACCACATTGGAGGTCCGAGAAACACAATTGCTAGAACCACACCGACGAAGACCGCCCATCCGATGACGACGCCTTGGATCAGACAAGCCTATACTTTAATCAGCGTATGTGAAACTAAGCGAAGTGGGTTACTTACCCAGAAGATGCCCGGATGGAAGAATAACGGGAATGGACGAAGGAGCAGCTTGAAAAAGCTCTCATCTGTTTTTCGTCCATTGAACAGCCTGAGCGATTGGGCGAAGGAATCTTTCTCTGGGACTGTTATCGCGGCTTCCGTCTTCGAACTTCCATTTATACCGTTGGACCTTGGTCTAAACTCCTTGGTATCATCACTGGAAGCCCCACTGAGTGAAACATGGGATTCCATGGACTCGCCGTGCCCGCCGCTTCGCTTGAAGTCGGTGTTCAAGTAATCTGAGCGTCGGAAAGCAGTTTCAGGCACGAAAAAGAACATCAGTGGTAGTGAAGAACCGAGGAAAATCGCCACAAAGTAGAAAGACCACTGCCATCCCATGGACTTGGTGATCTTGCCTACCACAACGGGTGTCAGAAAGGCTGCACCAAAGAGTGCGACATTGGATACAGCCATTCGCTTTCCTCGTTCCTTTATTATACCGATTAGTCTCCTCATGTGTCAAATCTACAGGAAAAGTAGGCCCAACTCACATGAACGAAGTAAAGGTCTCCAACACAGGCATTTACCAACGCCTCAAACGGCGCCAATGCAACACCCTGGAATATCCTTGCCCATATGAGACTATTCTTGTTCTTTCCGCTAACCCCAGCCCAGATGCAGCTGACAATCATCAAGACATGCCCGATCAGGAACAGATGACGTTTACCCCAGACCCGAGCCGTTGGCACAATGAGAATTCCCGCCACGCCGACACCGCATAGGTGATATCCAGTCAACAGGGCGGCTGCTGTAAACGTGATTTCCTCGTAATCTGCGATGGTGACTGTATTTGCGGCTAGGATAGAGCTTAGGGTTGTGCAGAGGATCGTTACGAAGGAGAGGATGGCAAGAATCGTATCGCGTCGCCATAATGGCCAGTTCTAACAGAACCATTCGGGTCAGGACTTTTGTCGTGGAAACAAATTCTAGGGTGCGGTGCTCTCTGGGACATACCAATGGGTCGTTTGGGTCATCGCTCGGTTGCGGTACGAGGATAATCGGCTGATTGCCCGACCAGTCGCATTTAAGGCCTGAGGCACCCGGGGTCTGGTCGCTCGCATCACCGTTTTGTTCGTAGATATCAGAGGTACCTGAAGTTTTGAAGTTGTGATGAGCCACGCGGATTCGCTTGCGCCTAGGCGGGTAAAGGCATGGAATCTTACCTGGGACATGCGCGAGCTTCGTATCTTCCAGTACTCCAAGACCCATGATTGTAGGAAGCCAACGAGGCGGGGCTTGTAGATAATGCAGCGGTTTAATAGAAATTCGAACAAGGTCAGCAGCGCTACGGAGTAATTCTCGACCCTCCAAAGAAGGAAGCTACGTGAAAAAGCTTCCCGGGGCCAATGGGGATAAATAGCAGATATAAATAAATACGAGTTCAACTTGAGGACTATATTATAGGACTAAATATAAGGACTAACCTTGGAAAAGATAAGCAGCTCGGTCGATATGTACATAAGGCCCGAGTGTGGGCGTAATTTTGAATGTGATTTGAGGTAAATTTCAAGTCTATTGTACAATATACGACATGCAAAGTTCCATCTAAGACCGCGTTTGGGCCGACCTTTATGAGTGAATATATGTACAGGACCGTACCTACGGAGTACATACGAGTTGCCCAGGTAAGCCTGGATCGGCGCTTCCAAGCTTAGACCGAGGCATCACATTCAGGCTCGAGCGTCCAATATTCGGCCGAGGTGCAGGTGGATCTTTTACAAGAATCAAACAGCTTGGAATCAGTGTTTTTGCTGTAGAGAAGTTCGTGTTGAGATCAGGGACCGACCCACCGAGGGGGAAAAAAAGCCACTAGTGCTGACTGGGGGCCTTAAATTTCCCATTCGAACCTTGTGATTGGTATATTACTGAGGTGTACAACCCGAATGGTCGTCATAAAGTAGAAAATAGAGTGTGGCAGTGAATTCTGTAGGAAACAAGGCGATGGGAGAGGTCTATACTCGGAATATCGTTGGGAAATAAATGCCACAACCCTAAACAAAAACCTCCACAGCTCCATCTAAGCCTCCAGGTAATTTAACGAAATACCAATACATGGCAGTCTCAAACCACATACATTTGAGATGTGCATATCGATTGATTCTACAGCAATTTCGCATCGTCCATGTCCTAAGAGCATAGCCAAGCTTTTAAATACGGACTTTGCCTTTCACAATATGCGTCGATACTGAAGAAGAGAAGGACTTGAGGTCCACTGGGCATTCTTGTCAACACGTGACCGCTGATATCATGTGTTAAGTCATGTGATGACCAGCGTCACCAACGGCTCCAGAGCTAGACTCCAAGTTGTGAGGCGCATTATTTCCACAGCAGCGGTTACGACGTGGTCGCGTTCCATATTGAAGTGACATCCTCCTCCTTGAAGAGCTATACCCCGCGTCATTGTCAAATCCCAAACACCGGCCCCCACCTAAGACTACTGCAGCGAGCGCGCGAAGCACAAAGCATTTACGCAAAACCACAGGTCCAATACACCTATCCAGCACATTTTTAATTATGTCGTCGGTCTCCCCTTCAAAGGAACACGATCTTGACCCAGAGGCGCAATCGGGGGAAGAACAAGACCACATGGACAAAGATCACCACGACGCGCAGGGACACCAAGGCGAGTTTGAGGTGAAGGAGCAAGATCGGTGGCTTCCGATTGCCAATGTGGCTCGTATCATGAAGCTTGCGCTTCCTGACAACGCGAAAATCGCAAAAGAAGCCAAGGAATGCATGCAGGAATGCGTGAGCGAGTACATCTCATTTATCACAAGTGAAGCCTCGGAGAAATGCCAGCAGGAGAAGCGCAAAACAGTCAACGGCGAAGACATCCTATTCGCCATGACCTCGCTTGGCTTCGAGAATTACGCTGAAGCACTCAAGATCTACCTATCCAAGTACCGTGAAACCCAGTCTGCCCGCGGCGACAATCAGAGACCCCCAAGCGCTGGCTATGGAGCTGGAGGACCTGTTGGTGGCCCCGCCGGAGGTGGGCCTGGACTAGCTCGTCCGACGGGCTTCCCCAATCCTGAAGGCACAAATCCTATGTCGAACCTCAGCCTTGACCCGTCCGAGCAAGACGCCTCTGCCTACGGCTATCCGCCCATTGTCGGCCAGCCTCACAACGGCGCAGGCGGCGAGTCATACTAGTGGATGATGTGAAGGGGTCGGCTGACGGACGCTGCGCCTAGTTTCAATATTGGCTACATGTCCTGGAGATTACCGACGATGTTGATTTCAACGGAGGTCTGAGATGTTTCAGCTAGGGGTCTCGGACCTCAGCAATGTGATGAGAATGGCGGAGTGTTGAGTTTGCATACCCGTGAACACCAGCCTAAGATAACTTGAAGAAATACTGTAATTGATGCCTAACTCAAACTTGAAGATTTGTACGAACTTACTTAAATACCCCCGTAATATAAATAATACCTTTGAAGATGTTAATAAAATAGTCCTCATTGCTAGGAAGATCCACTTTCGGTGTAAAATATCAGGAGTTCTGATACTATTTAACATCATCTCCATACCGGCCGAACCGCACGTGAAAGAGTCTGGAGTTTTTGCGGGGAAAAAAGGTACCGTTCATCTGCGTATCGGCGTATTTTTGACCTATCTATTGGTTTATTACCACGACCTGGCCACATGGAGAATAAAACCTCTCACATTTCCTCCCCCAATCACTCACTTTCATCAGCCTCAATAGGTATCTGCAAAGATGAAATTCACCATCACTTTTGCCCTGGCAGCTCTATTGAGCACTGCCGCTGCTCAAGGCCTGGGCGATCTGCCCGACTGCTCGGTATGTGTTTACAGTCAGACATACAACTATGCCAAATGTGCCACCTGCTAAAGAAGCCATTGCATAGAAAACCTGTGCTACGGGTTCAATTCCCCAGAGCTGCGGCATTGATTTCAAGTGCATCTGCGAGTCCAAGTCCTTCCTGGACGATGTCGCCTGCTGCATCGCCGATAAATGCTCCAAGGCTGACCAAGAAAGTATGTTCTCTTCCTTTTCCTCCATGCCCAATTGAGTACGCAAGTGCGGGATTATTCCAAAATGACTACGCATAATGGATGGCGGAACATGTACATTGGGCTGATATGTTACACTTCACCACAGCAACCATCAAGGTCGCCAAGTCAATCTGTGCCCGCGGTGGTGTGACCGACCTGCCCGCCGAGGTGGTCTGCTCGAGCAGTAAATCCAGTTCCAGCTCTGGCGCCAGTACCAGTACCAGCTCCAGCTCCAGCTTGACCGAGACTGGAATCAAGTCTAGCACTGAGACCTCGAGTACGACGGAAACTTCGGATTCGACTACTGCGACCAATACGAACGCTTCTACCGCTTCCTCGAACAGTGCCTCGTCCGTCTCTGCTGCGGCGACTAGCACTGGTGTCGCTGCTCTTGCCCACAGGGATTCTTCGCTCGTGGCCGCTGCTGGTGCTGCGGCGGCGTTCGCCATTCTGATCTAGCATGAGGCGTGCTAGTGATTTCAGGGGCTGGTACGTTTGGCGACATTGAAATATCGTGATGAGGATGGTATGAATGGAAACACGAAAATGGCTTGGGATGCACCTGTGTCTTATTTTATCCATGATATAATTTTAATTGACCGGGGACACGGTATGTCTAAATGCCATCGCTTTTCAATGGCGGGGGGATATTTCAAGTTAATAATACACTCATAGAAAGGATTACCGAGGAACCTGTGGAAGTGCTCAATTCTCGCGGGTATCCTCCAGCAGCTTGGTCAGGCGTTCCTGGCGCTCCTCGCGGAGAGTAGCGAAAGTCTGTAGAGTAGCACATTAGCATGAAAAACAGCCAACAGGGTCAATTCTGCCCGATTAATATATTCCCACTTACCCAGAACCAGAACATCATTTCGAAGAAAGCAAAGGTGAAGACCACCCTGTTCTTCAGGCGATCCAGACCTCCAACAGCCGCTGCGCTTGTGTAAGACGAGGCCAGGTGGTCACCTCTGCCTTGATAGATAAAGAACGCAATTCCAGCATACACGGCAAAGCGACAAGCAGCAACGGCGACCCAGACGCTCCAGTAAATTGTCAAGGAATTAGTGATATATTCGGGCAAACGCTGTAGCACCTGCAGATCCTCGGCGGGGAGGTTGCCATTTCGCAGGGGCCGAATATAAGGGAGAGCTTCATCGAGAGCTTCGTGGAAGGGGATGTTGGACAGTATGACGACGTCGATAAGGGCCTCGACGAAGATGAGGATGGCACAGAAGGTGAAAGGGGATTGTTGCGGGCTGGACAGGGATGGAAAGTCCTGTATCATGGGTGTTAGCAGCCAAAATCAAATCGAATAGGAAGTTCCAATGCCCATAGGGTATAAATGGACATGTGAATCGGGCTTGTTGATGTGGACATACAATCTTCAAGGCCTCTCCTATCATAAACACCAGATCACAGTCGGTGATCACCTCGGGGCTCTTGATCAGATAGCCGGCGATCACAATCAGAAACACGGCATGTGCCTGGAGAAGAAGCTTGGATGAAAGTAAAACCATGGTGGGCGAGTCACAATGGCACAAGTTTGTGGACAAGAGGAAGTTCCCAAAGTACAGACAGAAATAAATAAACGACTTGGAGTTGGTCCGAGTGTTGGCCGCAACACATGTGGGGAAAAAGCAGCTCCGGTCGAGATATCCCCCACCAACACAACAACCGCGATGATTGGATCTGATTTACGACTTGATGCCTGCTGATTATTGAACTGCGTGGATTACTAGTGGAACATCGCCCTGTTCCTATCATACTACATAGTGGTCCAACCCCCATCCTCTACAATGACCGACCCAAACCCAACCTTCAACACAGAGCGCCATGTCAAATACTACCTCCGATGCCTGAAGACCTTCCTCCCGTCCGCCTACACTTCCAATGACTCTAATCGTATGCTCCTTGCCTACCTGACCCTCTCGGGATTGGATGTGCTCGGCGTTCTCCAAAGCAAAACCACACCGGAGGAAAGACAAGGGTACATCAACTGGCTCTACCACTGCCAGGTGCCTTCGGGCGGATTCCGTGGCTTCCCAGGCACGGATTTTGGGCCAGGAAAGCGAAATAAGGATAATGAAGCCTGGGATCCAGCGAATGTTCCCGCGACATTCTTTGCGCTAGTCAACTTGCTCATCCTCGGCGATGACCTGTCGCGTGTCAAGCGACGGGAGTGTCTTGAGTGGCTTCCTAAAGTCCAACGCGCCGATGGGAGTTTTGGTGAGCTTGTTGGTCCTGAGGGAAGTGTAGGGGGACCTCGTGATTTACGATACTGCTGTTGTGCTGCCGGTATACGATATGTTCTGCGCGGGCGGAGTGAGACGGGGCTTGACGGTGTACCGGATATCGATGTCCCAGGTTTTGTTTCTTTTATACAGGCATGCCAGGTATGTGGAGACCTTGATGTTTTTTCTGCGATTGGGACACTGACACAGTATGGCGAAACAGACGTACGACGGCGGCATGGCTGAGTCTCCTTTCTGTGAATCCCATAGTTTGTGTCTCCCTTTCCACCACCTGGATCATCTAACAACCGACAGGTGGACACACATATTGCGCGGTCGGGTCTCTGGACTTCTTGCGCCGGACCTCAAATGATCTAGAATCAGTGCCCCTACTATTGGCAGGCTCCAATCAATTCGAGGCTTTGGTTACATGGCTGGCTTCAAGGCAAACAGCCCAGCTGGAGGAACCCGATGAAGACGAAGATTATGAACAGCTTGAGATGACAGAGACGGGATCTATCGATGATAGAGTCCGCAGGTTACCCAATATTGAACCCCTCGGGGCCGACACAATACCATGCGCCGGGTTCAATGGCCGGTGCAATAAATATGCAGACACATGCTATTCATTCTGGAACGGAGCGACACTGATGGTACGTGGCCGCCTAGCTAGTATTGAGTGTCTACTAACGCGAATATCAGATGCTAGACCGGTATTTCGTGGTCGATGGAGATCGCAATCGTCGATACTTGCTCGAAAGGACCCAACATCTTATCGGTGGATTTGGAAAGGGGCCCGGGGATCCTCCTGGTAAGGCGATAGTATTCTGATATCGAGACTATGTTGCTGACCAAACCTATAGACCTTCTTCACTCATACTTTGGCATGGTGTCCCTGGCTTTCCAGGGTGAGGTGGGACTCAGCGCCGTCGATCCCACGATGGGTTCCAGTGAACGCACGGTCCGACATCTTGAATCGCTGCCTTGGTGGCAATCATGAAGTATATACATAACACGCCTGTAAAATGACGATGGTTCATTCCACCAATTGGCTCATGTCAGCACACATCAGCCAATAGGTGTCGACTAAGTTAATTGGGCGTCGGTGTACATCGTACGTTGTACATGTACCGTCCACAAGTAAGGGTTGAATCTTAGGCCGTAAGGCAGTGACAACACATATTCTTCTACCTACAACGCAAGATTATGGCGATCGTGATCAATTTGGTGCTTCACTATGGAGGGATTCTAGCCAATTAAGTCGCATACCTCTGAAGCAGGTAATTTGCACAGCGTCAGCGATTCCTAAATAGAAACGGAGGCTACGGAGTAATGTATATTGTATCTGGTATAACTATTGCACATCAAGATAATAATAGCAGACTCCAAGGAAAAAAAAGGAGAACCAAGTGCCGAGTTCTCCACACGGTCCACGTTCCCGTTGACGTCTTGGAATCTTCCAAGGCCTTTGTATGCAATTTCCCTTATCCTTTCATCATTTGCGGTGTTACTCTATTTCTCCGGCCATCTTTCCGAGCCCCCAGCTACCCCTTTCTAAAACTTCTCGACCTCCACTCCGCTCATACCGTTTATCCGCGCATCTCGTGTCCCGTTGAATGGCCCCGGCACAACTATTTCCAGTCAACCCCTTGACGCGCAGAGACTCTCTTGACGACATTTGGCAATCATAACATATGCCGCCCCGAACAAGAGCGGGGGTTCAAAGCCAGAAACAAAAGGAGAAGGTGCGTCATCAGGGATGCGACATAGGGAGCTCCACCGGGTTTCCTTTGTTCGAGCCTTGCGCAGAGTCCGTGGAAATATGGCTAACTCGGAATTCTCGACAGCTTGCCAACTCCTACAATGAGCTCCTTGAGTAAGCGATCTTGCTTCCGGTCTGGATGGTCAGTTGCGCTAACGTGGTGCTTCTCTACAGGGAGTTCTCCTCCAAGGATCTTCGGACTGTAGGAAATTATACATTGGGGCGGCTAATTGGGAAAGGTTCCTTCGGCAAGGTTTATCTCGCCTCGCATAAGCTCACCAATGGCTCCAAGGTAGGTCATATCATACAAAGAAAGTTGTGGGGGCAAGGCTGATCAAGTTCGCAGGTGGTACTCAAATCGTCCAGCAAGGAGGACACCAATCTCGTGCGCGAGATCCATCACCATCGCCAATTCCTCCACCCTCATATCGCGCGCCTATACGAAGTGGTGGTAACTGAGAGCCTCGTTTGGCTTGTGCTAGAGTATTGTCCTGGTACGTCGGCTTGCGCATGGCAGACGCATAGAGAAACATACTGACAAAGCTCGGTTCTAGGCGACGAACTTTACAACTACCTCCTTCGACACGGCCCCCTACCGGTAGAGAAGGTGAAGCGCATATTTACACAGTTGGTTGGAGCGGTCGCCTACGTCCACAGTAAATCCTGTGTGCATCGCGACTTGAAACTGGAAAACATATTACTGGATAAACAAGAAAACGTCAAGCTTTGCGATTTTGGGTTCACGCGTGAATATGAAGGCAAGGCTAGCTATCTTCAGACATTCTGCGGGACGATATGCTATAGCGCGCCCGAGATGCTCAAGGGGGAGAAATACGCGGGCGAAAAAGTGGATGTATGGAGCTTGGGGATCATTCTATATGCGCTTTTGGCAGGCGAGCTGCCGTTTGACGACGATGACGACCAAATCACCAAAAAGCGGATTCTGTCGGACGAGCCGACCTTCAACGGAAAGTTCACGGACGATGCTAAGGCTCTGGTCAGTCTCCTATTGTCCAAACGGCCTTTGATTCGACCCAGTCTGGATGAGATCCTGGCACATCCTTTCCTTGCGGAACATGCTCCTCAACAACTTGCAATCCTGAAAATCCCAAGACCATCGCCATTTACTACGCCACTGGAGAAGACTACCTTGCAGCGGATGAAAAGCGCTGGGGTCAATATTGACGAGGTTATTGAAAATGTCTTGGCTCAGCGGTGCGACCCACTGGCTGGCTGGTGGGCCCTACTGATTGAAAAGGAACAAAGGAAGGAAAGAAAGAGAGAGCGCAAGCGTCGGGAGCGGGATGCTGAAGCAAAAAACATTCGTCGTCTGAGCGCTACCAGCAGTCGCCTAGAAAAGCGATCATCGGCTTTAATGGAGGTGGAGGAAGAAGGCATGGGGTTGCGCGATCGTGGGAGACGGGATAGAAGAAGCTTACCATCCCAGTTGGCAGTGCCAGATCTTCCTG